TAACAGAGTTGGAAGGGACCTTGGAGGTCTTCTAGTCCAGCCCTCTGCTCAAGCAGGAGACCCTACACCACTTCAGACAAACAGTTGTCCAGTCTCTTCTTAAAAGCCTCCAGCGATGAAGCACCCACAACTTCTGGTGGCAAGCAGTTCCACTGTTTAATTGTCCTCACTGTCAGGAAGTTTCTCCTGAATTCCAGGTTGCTTCTCTCCTTGATTAGTTTCCATCCGTTGCTGTTTCTTTTTCCTTTGGAGAATAGTTTTGACCTCCTCTTCTTTGGGGCAGCCCCTGAGATCCAAATAGAGGCTTGGACATCTGCTCCAGAAGAGAATGCAGGGGACGATGGATGTAATTCAGGATGGGTTTTCTGGCTGCCACGAATAGGATCTCCCAAAGGTGCTTTTTCAGGAGGCAACTGGACTTCCTTGTTTTTTCTTTTTGAAGACGTTTCGCTTCTCATCCAAGAAGCTTCTTCAGCTCTGTTAGGACAGGGGGGAATGGAAGGATTTATATTCCTTGCAAGACAAGCTGGTCATTTGCATCCTTTTAGAGAGCCGTTGAGGCAAATTGGAGTTTATCTGCGTCCTCAGGCTCACCTGAGTGGTGCTCCTGGTTCTTGTAGTCTGCAATTTTTTCTCTGGAAATCTGTTCATACTCCTACACCAGGGCTCTGCAACTCTAAACACTCAAAGAGCCATTTGGATGACTTTCCCACAGAAAAGAAAACACCGGGAGCCACAAAACCCTTCCTGTGCCTGACTGTTTCTTGAGCAACCACAAAACTAGCGTATATAGTTGAATTAAACCAGGGTGGATAAAAATCAATGATTTTTTAAAAAAAAAATCAAAAAAATCAGTTTTTTTTTAATTTAAATCGGATTTTTTTTATTTAAATTAGATTTTTTTGATTTTTATTGAATTTATTTTAATAAAAAACTTTTGGGGTAAAAATCTATCGTAAGATAGTTTTCTATTTAAGATACATAAATAATTTAGTTTATTCAGCATGAAATGGAGCTTATGTAGCATGAGGCTGTATATTCTGCAACACGGGGACTATTGGTGAGTCAACAGTGGGTCAAAGGAGTAGCAGAGATGACAGTTGCTCTTTAAAAATTATGATTTAAATCGAGTTGATTTAAATCAAGCCTTTTTACTAGTGATTTAAATCATGATTTAAATTGTGATTTAAATCGACTCGATTTAAATCAAATCCACCCTGAATTAAACATTCTGTTTTCTTCTGAAACTTTTCTTTTCTTGGATTTATTCATGGTTGGCCTACCGGGGGTTGAAAAGCTCAATAAATCGTTTGCCCGCGGGTGTCACACATTGGTGGTTGTGACGCATATTTTGAGTGACAGGGAGCCGCAGCAGAGGGGTGAAAGAGCCACATGCGGCTCCAGGGACGCAGGTTGCTGACCCCTGGACTACACCATTCCAAGGGTGTTTGTCCCAAATTGTATAGCTAAAATTCTGTAGAGATTCTCAATCTTCCAGGTCATGGTTGTCCCAAAGGTGCTTTTTCAGGAGGAAACTGGACTTTTGTTTTTGTTTTTTTTTAAAGACTTTTAGCTATTCAATTTGGGATGAACCTCCTTTGGATGGTGCGGGAGTAGGAACAGATTTCCAGAGGGAAAAATTGCAGACTTACAGGAACCAGGAGCACTACTCAGGTGAGCCTGAAGACACAGATAAACTTCCAAGGGCTTCAACGACCCTCTAAAAGGGTTCAAATCTCCAGCTGTCTTGCAAGGAGTATAAATCCTTCCATTCCCCACCATCCAGCCAGAGCTGAAGAAGCTTCTTAGATGTGGAGCGAAACGTCTTCAAAAAGAAAAAACAAGGAAGTCCAATTGCCTCCGGAAAAAAAAAAGCACTTTTGGGACAACAGTGACCTGGAGAACTGAGAATCTCTCCAGACTTTCCACAAACAGGATAGTCCATATAATGGGATTTTGCTACCCCCTGGAGGCCAAGAAACTTGCATGGTGACTCATTCCCTAGGACTCTTCCTGCATTCTTAGTGTGGCTTGGTTTCCCGATGTGATTGGTTTCCTACAAGGGTTTCCTGGCGAGTCTGCAACCCAGCATTCCCTGCCATAATCGAGGTTCTTTGGTCCAGCTCTCACCAACCAAATATTCAGGGTTTCCTCTTCCTCCAAAACGAGAGACAAAAGACGAACCGAGCTTGGCTTGAGCTCACCACCTCCTTCAGCAGCAGATCCATCCTGCTCTTCATGCTCCTTCCTGGCGTTTCCCCTCCTACCGTCATTTATGTATAAATAAATCTCCAGGAGAGATGGATGGTTTGTTAAGTTGAATAAATACATTGATTCAGGTTGATTTGGCAGCCCAGTTGACTCAGGGCGATTCTGGCAGCTCGGAGAAATAAAAACCCAAATGCAAACGCCAATGAATCTCGAACTTTCTGGTGACCGTGATCAAAACGACCAGTTGGTGGACTCCGTATCCCCCCCTGGGGTCTCCAAGCCTGTTCACAAAACCAGGTCTTTGGGGCCTTTTTAGGGTGGGGGCCAGTCTTATCTCCGCAGTGTCTATGCTCAGTCATTCAGGTCATGGTTATCGCAAAGGTGCTTCTTCAAGAGCCACAGTGGCGCAGTGGTTAAGAGTGCAGTACTGCAGGCTCCTTCTGCTGACTACCGGCTGCCTGCAATTTGGCAGTTCAAATCTCACCAGGCTCAATGTTGACTCAGCCTTCCGTCCTTCCGAGGTGGGTAAAATGAGGACCCAGACTGTTGGGGGCAAGAGGCTGACTCTGTAAACCGCTTAGAGAGGGCTATAAAAGCACTATGAAGCGGTATATAAGTGCTATTCCTTCCTTCCTTCCTTCCCTCCCTCCCTCCCTCCTTCCTTCCCTCCCAGTGGTTAGAATGCAGTATTGCAGATTAACTCTGCCCACTGCCAGCAGTTCAATCCTGACCGACTGGCTCAAGGTCGACTCAGCCTTCCGTCCTTCCGAGGTGGGTAAAATGAGGACCCAGATTGTTGGGGGCAATTATGCTGACTCTGTAAACCGCTTAGAGAGGCCTGCAAGGGCTATTGCTATTGCTAACTGGACTTTCTGCTTTTTCTTTTGAAGACGTTTCACTTCTCAACCAAGAAGCTTCTTCACCTCTGAGAGAATCAGAATAGAGCTGGAAGGGATCTTGGAGGTCATTTAGTCCAACCCCCTGCTCAGGCAATAGATGTCAACTTGCAAAGCTTTCAAGTTGCCATGAGCAGGAGGGAGGGAGAACTGGTAGAGCTGATTGATTTCCCTAACTGAAGTGCATTCCATACATTCTTCCTGACTGCAGTCAGAAGGAGGGTGTTGGATTTCACAGCCAGCCAAAGTGGTTAATTGGAGAATGTGATTTATGACATGGCCAGAGAGGAGGGGAGAGACAGGGTCATAGGGGAACGTAAATCTACGTGGGATTAGTTCTAACTGCATCCGAATATTGCCGAAATGGTGCTCCTAATAAATGACTGTATTTCTTTTGAAGTTCGGCTCATGGCTCATGAATTAATTAGGGCACCTTTCGGAAACTTCACAATAGACTCTACACCATTTCAGACAAGTGACAATCCAGTCTCTTCTTAAAAGCCTCTGGTGATGAAGCACCCACAACTTCTGAAGGCAAGCTGTTCCACTGGTTAATTGTCCTCCGTTAGAAAATCTCTCCTCAATTCTAGGTTGCCTCTCTCCTTGATTCGTTTCCATCCCTTGTTTCTTGTCCTGCCTTCTTGGTGCTTTTGAAAATAAATAATTGACCCCTTCCTCTTTGTGGCAGCCCCTCAACTACTAGAATACAAGAAACTTCTTGGACGAGAAGCGAAACATCTTCAAAGAAAAATAAGGAAGTCCAGTTGCCTCTTGAAAAAGCACTTTTGGCTTATTTCCACAGGGATGGACCTATGATGGACCAGGCCCTTCTTCTGGGTCCCACCAGATGGACCTCCTTAGGAGAGGGGACTCAAAACATCCCCTGTCTCCTCATTCTGCTAGGTTGGTAGATGCAACTGGGAAAAGAGGGTCCTTCAAATAACCTGGCCTTAAGCCATAGAGGGCTTTGTAGGTGACAACGAACATCTTGAGATGGATCCAGAAGCGCATCGGCAACTGATATGCATTGCTTCTGGAGTGGTTTTGAAATTTTCAAGAAAAATCAGTGAATATAATATAACCAGGGGCCTGGTGGCTCAGCAGACTAAAAGCATTGTGATTAACACCAGCTGACTGCAATTTCTGCAGGTTCGAATCTCAAGGCTCAAGGTTGATTCAGCCTTCCATCCTTTCTAAGGTAGGTAAAATGAGGACCCAGTTTGTGGGGGCAATAAGCTGACTTTGTATACATATACAAAAGGATGAAGGCTATTGCTTAGCACATTGTAAGCCGCCCTGAGTCTCCGGAGAAGGATGGCATATAAATCAAATTTAAAAAAAAAAATAATTTAATTTAATTAATTCAATTTATATGCCGCCCCTCTCTGAAGACTCAGGGCGGCTCACAATACATTTAAAAAATCATTATAAAAAGACACTGAAAAATTAAAAACATTAAAACCCATTCACGCCATTCATGGCCGGATCTCGTCAGATCGCAGTAGCGAGATCAACGGCCCCAGGCCTGCCGGAAAAGCCAGGTCTTCACCGCTTTCCGGAAGGCCAATAGGGTGGGGATGGTCCGGACCTCAGGAGGTAACTGGTTCCAGAGAGCCGGGGCAGCCACAGAGAAGGCCCTCCTCCGGGCCCGCCAGCCGGCATTGTTTAGCTGACGGGACCCGGAGGAGACCAACTCTGTGGGATCTTACCGGTCGCTGGGAGCTATGCGGCAGAAGGCGGTCTCGAAGATAACCTGGCCCTGAGCCATGTAGGGCTTTAAAGGTAATAACCAACACTCAATATACCGATTAAGACCCTGTAGTAGGGAGTGGAAGGCTGCGCACCCCACATTCTGTTTCAGGAACAGCAATAAAACTGTTTTCACTAATCATGTGTACCAAGCCTTGCAAGATAATCCTTTATTATGATCACAAATAAGGTTGTATGGTCCATTCCATTAGATAAATGGAATACAATCCTGAGTTGTATACACAGGTAGTCCTCGATTTTCAACAGTTCGTTCAGTGACCGTTCGAAGTTACAACAGCACTGTGAGGAAAGTGACTTACGACGGCTTTTCACACTTATGATCACTGCAGCATCCCTATGGTCACGTGATCAAAATTCAGATGCTTGCCAATTGTCTCGTATTTATGACGGTTGCAGTGTCCCAGGGTCACATGATCCCCTTTCGCAAACTTCCGACAAGCAAACTCAATGGGGAAGCCAGATTCACTTAACAAGCCTGTTACTAATTTAACAACTACAGCGATTCATTTAACAGCGGTGGCAAGAAAGGTCATAAAATGGGAAAAAACTCGCTTAACTGTCTCACTTAGCAACAGAAATTTTGACCTCAACTGTGGTTGTAAGTCAAGGACTACCTGTATAAGGTACATCTCTGTTATTCTGTGTTGTGTTTAATTTTGCCTAGTCTGGCGCTAATCCCTTATGTTATGTCAGAATAACAAAATAACAGAGTTGGAAGGGACCTTGGAGGTCTTCTAGTCCAACCCCCTGCTCAGGCAGGAAACCCTACACCACTTCAGACAAATAGTTATCCAACATCTTCTTTAAAACTTCCAGTGTTGGAGCATTCACAACTTCTGGAGGCGAGTTGTTCCACTGATTAATTGTTCTCACTGTGAGGAAATTTCTCCTTAATTCTAGGTTGCTTCTCTCCTTGCTGAGTTTCCATCTGTTGTTTCTTGTCATGTCGTCTTCCGTGACCGTTTTCAAAGGAGAAAGAAAAGGGTGTGACTGAAAAAAGAGAGAGATGCAAACACAGCCTTTGTCACCAAAGGACACCTCGCAAAATGAGCTTTTTCCCCTCCCAGCTGACCAGCTGGGTTCTGGGGGGAGTTTCAGTAGTGGGATTCAGCCAGTTCGCACCACTTGGGAGAACCGGTTGTTAACTTTCTGAGCAATTTGGAAAACTGGTTGGAATGTTTTTGGAAGAAATCATTAGGGCAGAGAACTGGTTGTTAAATTACTTGAATCCCATCACTAGGGAGTTTAAAATGCCAGTCGTTCTCTATCAAGGTCTTCACGCTTCAAGGCCTGGGACACCTGTCTCCTATTGTTCCTGCCCGTCCTTCGAGCTTCAGCAAGGCTGGCATGCTCCAGATGCCACCAACAAAAGAATGCCATTATGGGGTTTCAAGATAGTCCATGGCTTCCCCTGCCTTTGGGAACATCATCATCGCTCCCCATCTCGATCAATTGGTGAGAGCAAGTTTGGTCTAATGGTTAAGACATCAGACTGGAAAGCAGAAGAACACGAGTTCCAGTTGTAAGAAACTGATGGAGAGAATGTTGTTTATGCAGAGAAAGCAATTTTTAAAGAGTTGTGGGTATAAAAGTTCAGTAGGACATTGGTACATTAAAGATAAAAAAATCAACAGGAAGCAACTGTTAATCTGATAAGCGAATCAGCTTGGTCAAACAGATTAGTTAACAGTTTTAAACGAACATTCTAGTAATATAGTGGAGAACTTAATTGTTTGCCTCAATTTATAATGCTGATGCTGCAAGGATTGTAAGGAAACAAGGAATATAGGTTAAGAAATTTTTAAAAAGGGACAAAAGGTAGTTGGGAAAAGGGGAACTGTGCAAAAGTGGGGAAACAGATGAAGCATGGGGAAATTCATGGAGAAACAGGCATTCGAGGAAGATTGCAACCGTGTGGTCTTCGTCAAAGGGGGCTGCAGGGAGGGATTTGTGGTTTGGGTGGAGAGAATAAAAAGTTGAAGAAATATATTCCTCTGTGTTCCTACCTGCTAGTCACCCGCTCTTGCAAGAACGTATTTTACATGCAATAAACTGCTTGCTGCTTCACTTCATGATTCTGTCAAATTTCTGATTGGTGAGTCTGTTTCTCACATAGTCAATATGTAAATGAAGACTCAATCATCCAGGCCAAAAGTATCTAAAAAGGTTAAATCAAATCAAGGATTATTAAATATTATTTTCAATTTGACTGATGAAGTTACTTGGATGGGTAACGAAACATCTCCGTTTTAAAAAACCTTGGTCCAGTTGTCTTAATCTTTTTAGATGAATTCTAGTCCCAATTTAGGCATGAAAGCCGGCTGGGTGAATGAGGCAATCACCAGGAAATGCTGAGTTCTAGTCCTGCCTTTGGCAATAAAGCTGGCAGGTGACTTTTCAATCACCAGGTGACTGGGAGTTCTAGTCCTGCCTTAAAACACGTAAGCCGACTGGGTGACCTTGGTCCAATCCCCAAGGGGATAGCAATACTTGCAAATAAGTAATAGCAAATAATTGCAGTAATAATAGAAATAACTGCAACAATAGCAATAACAATTGCAGCAACAATAGCAATGATTGCAGCAGCAATAAAAATAATAATTGCACTAATAGCAATATAACAACCGCAGCAGTATCACCCATAATTACAGCAATAAGAGCTATAATAACCACAGTAACAGCAACAATTATAGAAATATTATATTATATTTATTATATATTGTATTATATTGTATGTTGTGTTGTGTTGTGTTATTATGTTATGTTATGTTATGTTATGTTATGTTATGTGTTATGTTATGTTATGTTATGTATGTTGTTATGTTATATTATATTGTTATTATGTTATATTATATTATATATATAACTATATTTATTATATTATTATGTTTTATATTATATATTATGTTATGTTATATTATATATATGTATATTATATGATATATATATATAATATGAATATAATATATGATATGATATGATATATATATATAATATAATATAATATAATATAATATAAGTGCCCTCAAGACCCTACTGTTCCGACAGGCGGGGCTGTCTAACTGAATGATTTTAAATTGGGTTTTAATTTTGGGTTTTAAAATTCGGCCAAAACTATTTAATGATTTTAATTAATTTAACTATGATATCTGTATATATTTATGTTTTAATTCTGGCTGTACACTGCCCGAGTCCTTCGGGAGAAGGGTGGTATATAAATAAAATTATTAATATTATATTATATTATATTATATTTATTATATTATATTATATTTATTATATATATTATTTATTATATATAGCCTTATAGGACTAAGGCAGTGTACAGTCAAGTATAGATAATCATAAAATTACTAATTAAAATTATTATTATATAGTTTGGCCCAATTAAATAGTAAAATTAGATAACATTTTAAAATATAATTTATTATATTATATTATATTATTATATTATATTATATTATATTATATTATATTATAATTATATTATATTATATTATAATATTATAATATAATATTATAATAATGTAATATATCATTATATTATGCTATGTTATGTTATGTCAATTATATATTATATAGAATTTACTAGGAACACAGCAATAATCACCACAAGTATTCAGGGCAATAATAGTCATCATACCACCATCACCATCTCCTGACACGTGTCTCGCCATCATTACGTGGGAACGCACCGTCTGGGGAACGAGGGTGGGGGAAGCGGGAGAAAAGAGCCTCGTAGCTTCAGGGCCCCACTGTCGCGGCCCGGGTGGTGGCGGTCGTGAGTGGGAAAGAAAGAGTCAAACCCAGGCGAGGATCCATTTTTTTTTTAATTTTTTTACTCCAAAGTAGGCCCGGCGGTGGTGGTGGTGGCGGCGGCTGCCTAGCAACGGGCCGGGCCGCCGTCGTTTCCAAGGGGCGTGGTTTGCGATTTGCGAACGCCCGCGCATGCGCCGCGGGAGCACTTCCGGCTGGTAAGGGAACGTGTCCCTGGGCTCTCTTGCGGGGCCGCCTCTGCCGGGTCGGAAGTTGCGGGGTTGTGTGGCGGCGGCGGCGACATGGAGCAGGCCGAAGCGCACAACGGCAGCGGGGCGGTCGAAGCCCCCGCGGCCGGCACGAGACCCCCGGCTACCCCCGAAGGCATGGCCTTGGCCTACGGCAGCCTGGTGGTCATGGCTCTGCTGCCCATCTTCTTCGGGGCGCTGCGCTCCGTCACCTGCGCCAAAGGGAAGGTGAGCAAGGAGGAGGAGGAGAGCCTCCCCAAGGAGGGGCAGTCTATCTCATTTGGGGGGCTTTCATCCCTAAAAAAAAAAAAAAAAATCAAACGTGGCCCCTTTAAGAGGGGGGGTGGACTTCAACTCCCAGAATCCCCCAGCCAGCAAAGCTGGCTGGGGGAATTCTGGGAGTTGAAGTCCAACCCCCCCTCTTAAAGGGGCCACGTTTGAGAAACATGTCTACAACCATTCATTCAGCGACCGCTCAAAGTGAATGACGTCTCTTGAGCAAGAGGGGCCGTTGGTCACACTTAACGACCGCCGCGGCCCGTCTTGATCAAAATTCACGCGCTGGGCGGGTGACTCGCCTTTACGACGGTTCACGGTTGTGTGTGTGTGTGTGTGTGTGTGTGTGTGAGACGTGATCCCACCCTTTTTTTGGGGGGGGCGCCTTCTGAATGGCGAAGTCCATGGGGATTCGCTTAACGACCGTGCGACTCGCTTAACGGCGCACAGGGATTGTGGCCAGAAAAGTGGTAAAACTGGGGCCGGGGGGGGGGGCTTGGGGGGAGTGGTTCGCTTAGAAAATGGCCTCGCTTGGCAACAAGGAATTGGGCTGTTGTGGTCATAAATTGAGGACTGCTTGTAGCTTTGAAGGGTCACTTAAGAGACCGGTTGTATGGGGGGAGGGAGGGTCTTTTTCTCCCTCCTGGGCTCCCAGCTTGGCTGGTTCTGACCATCTATCCCAGCAGTCTTGACTGCTGCCTGGGATCCAGTAAGGCTAGGTGGGTGGGGGGTGTTTTTTGAGCAAATGGGGGGGGGGGTCCCATGTAGAGCAATGGGGTATGTCCCTGTCTGCCTCCCCCCCCCGTCCTTTTTCGGCAGCGGTGTGTGTGTGTGAAACCCCAGCTGGTCCCCAGGATTAGTGCAAAGGATTGTGCCCAGAAGTGACTAAAGATATGCGCCCCCCCCCCCCCAACGGCTTGAATCCGTTGATGGGGGGGGGAAACACACAAATTTTTGCTTTTTTTTCTACTTAGTCTCTGCTTTTTGGCCCTTTCTTTACACTGTGTATTTTCTAAACTGCCTGTCTCTCTCAAACCGATAAATCAAAAGAATGGATAAAAACCCAATTAGGGTTAAAATTTTAAAAGGATCGAATTTAGAATATAGTCTCTTCCCTTCTCCAGAGATTCTTATAAATATGATTCATGTTTTTCCTCCCTCCCTCCCCCTTCTCTTTCTCTTTCTCCCCTCCCTCCCTCTTATTTCTTTCTTTCTTTCCCTTTCTTTCTTTCTTCCTTTCTTCCGTTCTTTCTCTCTCTCTCTCCCACCCTCCCTCCTTCCCTCCGTTTTCTTTCTCTTTCTCTCCCTCCCCCTCCCTCTTTCTTTCTTCTTTTCTTCCTTCCTTCCTTCCTTCTCTCTCTCTCCACCCTCCCTCCTTCCCTCCCTTTTCTTCTCTTTCCCCCTTCCCTCCCTTTATTTCTTTCTTCTTTCCTTTCTTTCTTTCTTCCTTTCTTCGTTCTTTCTCTCTCTCTCTCCCACCTCCCTCCTTCCCTCCCTCTTTCTTTCTCTTTCTCCCATCTTTCTTTCTTTCTTTCTTTCTTTCTTTTTCTTTCTTCCTACCTTCCTTCCTTCCTTTCGTTCTTTCTCCCCTCCCTCCCTCCTTCCCTCCCTCTTCTTTCTTTCTTTCTTTCTTTCTTTCTTTCTTTCTTTCTTTCTTTCTTTCTTTCTTTCTTTCTTTCTTTCTTTCTCTCTCTCTCTCTCTCTCTCTCTCTCTCTCTCTCTCTCTCTCTCCCCCCCCCCCATTTCCCCCTTCTTGCCTCCCTCTCCCCTTAAATAAGCCAAGACTTTTGATGGAAAGGTGGATCTACTTCCCCTCCCCATTTTTTTCCCTTCCCCTTCCTGAATGTATACCGCGAGGAGTCTTCACGGGTGAGAGCTAAAACAGTCAAAAGAACTGACGTGTTAGTAGCCAAGAGGGCCTGGTGAGAAAGAAGTCCCACCTCTTAACAGACTTCGACTGGAAATTATGGTTAAATGGGTGTCGGGGAAGATGCACTGACCCTCGCAAAAGGTCGGGATTTGCATTGGGTGTATTCACTCCGGATTCAGTTGCTGACGTTCGCAGCAGCTGTCCAGTTTCAGGCTATATAATTCTGTTATTTCTGCAGCATATTTAAAGTGTGGGCACTAACAGCTGGTGAGAGCTGCTGGCGCCTGAGTCAGTCAGTGGTTTTAATCCAGTACGGTTAAAACTCTTAAGAGGGGATCACACAGATTTGCAAATACTTTATAATCCGGCATCCAGTTCTAGTTGCCACGATACAAAAAAAGATGTTGAGACTCTAGAAAGAGGCCAGAGAAGAGCAACAAGAAGGAGGAGGAGGAGGCTGGAGGCTAAAACATACGAAGAACGGTTGCAGAAATTGGGTGTGTCTAGTTTATTTTTTTTTTATTTATTTATTTTTTATTTGATTTGATTTCTATACCCCTACTCCCGAAAGACTCAGGGCGGTGCACAGCCAAACAATAAAACACATACATACAAAATTTAAAAAGTAGAATTAAAATCAAATTAAAAAGTTTTGGCCCAGACAAATTAAAACCCCAACCAATTTAAAACCAATTTTAAAATTTGAATATATGAAATACTAAAAGATATTAAAAATGAAAAGAAAGGACGGGGGGGTGACTTGATAGCAGTCTTCCAATATCTGAGGGGCTGCCACAAATAAGAGGGAGTCAAATTATTGCTTTGAAGAAGGGTAGGAACAAAAAGCAATGGGTGGAAACTAATCAAGGAGAGAAGCAATTTAGAACTAAGGAGGAATTTTCTGACAGTCAGAACAATCAGCCAGTGGAACAGCTTGCCACCAGAGGTTCTTGGCGCTCCAACGCAGGAGGTTTCTAAGAAGAGATTGGTGTAAAATGGTATAGGATTTCCTGCCGGAGAAGGGGGTTGGGCTAGAAGACCTCCAGGGTCCCTTCCATCTGTTATTCTGTTCTATTAGTTTAATGAAGGAACTAGGAGTGACATGATAGCAGCCTTCCAATATTTGAGGGGCTGCCTTGAAGAGGATATTCTCAAGATATTCTCCAAAGCCCCCGAAGGCAGGAGAAGAAGCAATGGGTGGAAACTAATCAAGGAGAGAAGCAACCTGGAATTAAAGGAGAAAACTTCCCGATAGTGAGAATAATCCACTAGAACAGTGTTTCTCAACCTTGGAAGCAGTGCTGGCTGGGGGATTCTGGGAGTTGAAGTCCACCCATCTTCAAGCTTCCAAGATTGAGAAACACTGCATCTTAGGTGAACAGGTCTCTGTTTAGGAATCCATCATTCTTACAGATAGTCCTTGACTTACAACCATTCGTTTAGTGACCGAAGTTACAAAAGCCCTGAAAAAAAGTGACTTATGGCCGTTTTCCACACTTAATGACCAACGCAGCATTTCCCCCGCGGTTACGTGATCAAAATTCAGACGCTTGGCCACCGACTCACATTTATGACGGTTGCAGCATCCCGGGGAGGGTCCCGTGATCCTCTTTTGCGACCTTCCGACAAAGCCAAAGCGGAAGCCAGATTCACTTAACAACCGTGTCACTCATTGAACAGCTTGCAATCCTAAAGTGGGAGAGCGAAAGAATTGTTGGGCTCCCTTGTGGCCGTGAGTCGAGAACTGCCTGCCTTTATTTTCTGAATCACCGTTTCTCTTTCCTCATACGGGAACCTCTCAGTTCCCCCTTCCTATGTTGCTGAACTACATTTCTCAGCGAGGCATGTTGTAATTCGGCAACATCTGGAGTCTATAAATTTCTCTTCTCTCCCCCACCCCTCTTCCATCTCTATCCTCTCCTCGATTTTCGGAGCAAAATTCTCCCTTTTTCGTTGGGTTGCTTTCCGATCCGATTTAAACCGAAGGACCAGAGTTTTTAAAAAACGGAGAATCTTTTCCAAAAAAAACCCCAGACATTCTCTGGATATTTTGGATTGCGGTTCGTATATCGGATTCAGCCAGCATCTCCAAACCAGGGCAGGGAGAATGGAAAGTGTGATTCAAAACATCTGCAGGGCACCGGCTTGAAAATGGCTGCGACACTAAGAGTTTTGTTGTTGCTCTTTTTTTTTAAATTTTTAATCCATTTTAGGGGGTTTAAAAAAAAAAAAAAAAAGAGGCCAGAAGGATTTCAAGTCATCCCACGAAGCAGCCAAGCGCTGCACCGCAAAAGGCATCTTTAGCAGGATATTCAGATTAAATTTTGAGATGTTCGATTTTTAATTGTCTATGGGTTTTATAGTTGGGATGTTTTAAATTTTGGGCCGAAGTTGTGTAATTCTTTTTAAAAATTTTAAATTTTGTATTGGAATGTTGCTTAATTTTGGCTGCGCACCGCCCTGAGTCCAGCAGGAGAAGGGCGGTATACAAATTTAATAAATAAAAAATAAAATAAATCAAAACGCAGAAAAAGTTCAATGAAAACAGCCGTTTTGCATGTAGCAGGGCAGAGCTCCCGTACGGTGCCTTCCTGCAAAATGGCTAATTTGCCACCGGTCCTTGTGCAAGGATGCCTTGCTGGAGCCACTGCTTTTGTGGGCACACGAGCTCAGCTCCGGCACACATGCGTGCGCTGGCCAGTTGATTTTCGGGCCTTCTGGGCCCACCAGAAGTCAGGAAACACGCTGTTTCTGGCCTCCAGAGGGCCTCTAGGTGAGGGTGGGGAAGGCTGTTTTTGCCCTCCCCAGGCGCCTAGAAAGGCTCTGGAGCCTGGGGAGAGCGAAAAATGGGCCTACCGGGCCCACCGTGCCATCGCGTGCCAAAAGCAGGGGGAGCATGAGGTGGGGGCGGGGCGCATAGAATTATGGATGTGGGCACACATGCATGTGTCGTCGTCCCCCCCCCCCGCTTTTGGCACGTGATGGCAAAAAGGTTAGCCATTTTTGTTAGGAATTTCGATAGAAAATTATGCTAAAGAACTACAGTACCTCATATTGCATATATTGACTGCTGCACGTATTGTATATGCGCAATATTGGAAAAAAGAATATGCACCATCCGAAGAAGATTTAATTAAGAAAATTCTGGAATGCGCAGAATTAGTTAAACCAACTAAAGAAATGAAGGGAAAAGAAGAATCAAAGCAGGGTGGATAAAAATCAATGATTTTTTAAAAAAAATAAAAAAAAAATCAGATTTTTTTTATTTAAATTGGATTTTTTTGATTTTTATCGAATTTATTTTAATAAAAAACTTTTGGGGTAAGAATCTATCGTAAGATAGTTTTCTATTTAAGATACATAAATAATTTAGTTTATTGAGCATGAAATGGAGCTTAGTTATGTAGCAGGAGGCTGTATATTCTGCAACACGGGGACTATCGGTGAGTCAACGGTGGGTCAAAGGAGGAGCAGAGATGACAGTTGCTCTTTCAAAATTATGATTTAAATCGAGTTGATTTAAATCAAGCCTTTTTACTAGTGATTTAAATCATGATTTTAATTGTGATTTAAATCAACTCGATTTAAATCAAATCCACCCTGAATCAAAGTATTTATAAGATACGGAGTAGATGGTATGAATGGTTGAAAAATAAGAGAATAAGTTAACGGAATGAAGAAGAGAGGAGGGGGAAAATATGGACGATCAACTTATAGGATAGAGGGAATGAAAGAAAGTTAAATATGAATGTTAAATAAGTTAAAATATCTATAAATACTGATATATAGAAAGAAAGGATCACTGCGTACAGCTGAAAAGAAAACTGATGTTTTTCTCTCTCTTTTTTTGTTTTTATTTTTATTTTATTTTTCTTCTATAAATGTTGTATATCTATGGTTTGTGTTTAATGTGTTTAAAATAAAAAACTTTTTTTTAAAAAATAACAGAGTTTGGAAGGGACCTTGGAGGTCATCTAGTCTAACCTCCCTGCTCAGGCGGGAGACCTATGCCAGGGATTCGAACCGAGGTGGGCTTGGCTTTGAAAGTCGTTGCAAAATCCTGGCTTCTGCCTGCTACACCGAAGGGGGGGGCGGGTCTCAATCCTGTCCTGTTTCTCTTCTAGAATGCTTCGGATATGCCGGAGACCATCACAAGCCGAGATGCGGCCCGTTTTCCTATCGTTGCCAGCTGTACCCTCCTAGGCCTCTATCTCTTCTTCAAAGTAAGTAAAGAAACAAGAAGTCCCTGGGTGGGGCAGTTTTCTTCCCCTTGGTGCTCTCTGAGCTTGGTTATTTTCTGGCGGACGTTTCATGACCCAACTAGGTAACATCATCAGTGCTAGAAGGGAGTGGGGTTTTGCAGAGAGGAGGAGAAGGAGGAAGGAGGAGGAAAACTTGTGCTGTGATGGGTGATCTCTGAGCTTGGTTGTTTTCTTGCAAACGTTTCATGACCCAACTGGGTTACATCATCAGTGCTGGAAGGGAGTGTGGAGTAAAGGAGAGGATGGAGTGGTGAAGAAGGGGAGAGGAGGCGAAGAGAAGGGGAGCAGCAGGAGGAGGAGGGCTGTGGGGTCTAGTGCTCTCTGAGCTTGGCTGCTTTCTTGCAGACGTTCATGACCCAACTAGGGAACATCATCAGTGCTAAGGAGGAGTGGTGGGGCTTGCTCTGTTTATATTTCATCTTTCCTCTGCTTTGCAGCTAATCCAATATTTTTTTATCTTGTGACCAGGAAGGATTGCGGTTCCTCTTGGAGATGGAGGAAAATATTTTTCCAACCATCTGTTAGAAAGGAATTTGTATTCTGGAGGCCAAATCTAATGTCATCCTTTTAACTCAGTGTTTCTCAACCTTGGAAGCTTGAAGATGGGTGGACTTCAACTCCCAGAATCCCCCAGCCAGCGCTGCTGGCTGGGGGATTCTGGGAGTTGAAGTCCACCCATCTTCAAGCTACCAAGGTTGAGAAATATTGCTTTAACTGCGTGGTCTGGTTTGGTCTGCCATGTACTGGAGGCACTGGTTTCATTCAAAGGAACGCGGCTATTTGGTTTCCTAAAGGTCAAGAAAGGAGCAGATAATTATATTTATTTTATTTATTAGTTCAATTTATATGCCGCCCTTCTCCGGAGACTCAGGGCGGCTTACAATGCGTTAAGCAACAGCCTTCATACTTTTGTATATACCTGCTTAGTAGGGCTTTCGGCCCCCCCTAAGCGGTGTTCTTTTTTATACAAAGTCAGCTTATTGCCCCCACAATCCGGGTCCTCATTTTACCTACCTCGGAAGGATGGAAGGCTGAGTCAACCTTGAGCCTGGTGAGATTCGAACTTGCAGTAATTGCAGGCAGTTTATAGGTCGTTTACGCCTAGTTTTTTTTTTTTTTAAAGTTTGTGCAGGGTTTTTAGTGTGAGAGATCTGCAACAATTGTGCGACAAAAGCGAAGGTGGATTAATTTCAGTGAAACCAGAGCCGCGTGGATTGCATGAAAAGCAAATGCAAACTTAAAGCAACTTAGTTATAAAATAAATTTGACTTAAATTAACGGGGAAGCCCAGCAGGGAAAGACGCAGAAGCGATATTCTGATCTGAGACCGCTGCGATTCGATGCTTGCCTAGGAGTTCAGCTCTTCAATACGTAATAAAATATTCAAGAGTAGTTCCTCGGGCAGATCGGAACAAATGCCAGATGCAAAGAGGAGAAGTTAAAAATATTTTATAATCCATAATGTAAATATAGGGAGGTGGCCTTGTGGCTATTCTCTAGGAAGGCATTGTGCATATCTTAGTCCACCGATTTACTGTAAGAGGCAGGGATTCTCAGCCTTGGCAGTTTGAGGATTGGGGGGGGGGGACTTCCAACTCCCAGAATTCCCCAGTTAGGAACTAGAACTCACACTGGCCTAGTGATTGGCCCAAAGTCATCCAGCCGGCTTTCATGCCTAAGGCAGGACTAGAACTCACCGTCTCCTGGTGATTGGGCCAAAGTCACTCAGTCGGCTTTCACTACTAAAGCAGGACTAGAACTCACTGTCTCCTAGTGATTGGCCCAAAATCCCCCAGCTGGATTTTGTGCCTAATCTGGGACTAGAACTCACCGTCTCCTGGTGATTGGCGCTAAGCCCCTCAAGTCAGCTTTCATGCCTATGCAGGACTAGAACTCACCGTCTCCTGCTGATTGGCCCAAAGTCATCCAGTCGACTTTCACTACTAAAGCAGGACTAGAACTCACCGTCTCCTGGTGATTGGCCCAAAGTCACCCAGTCGACTTTCACTACTAAAGCAGGACTAGAACTCACCGTCTCCTGGTGATTGGCCCAAAGTCACCCAGTCGACTTTCACTACTAAAGCAGGACTAGAACTCACCTTCTCCTGGTGATTGGCCCAAAGTCACCCAGTCGACTTTCACTACTAAAGCAGGACTAGAACTCACTGACTCCTGGTGATTGGCCCAAAGTCACCCAGTTGACTTTCACTACTAAAGCAGGACTAGAACTCACTGTCTCCTAGTGATTGGCCCAAAGTCCCCCAGCTGGATTTTGTGCCTAATGTGGGACTAGAACTCACCGTCTCCTGGTGATTGGCGCTAAGCCCCTCAAGTCAGCTTTCATGCCTATGCAGGACTAGAATTCACCGTCTCCTGGTGATTGGCGCTAAGCCCCTCAAGTCAGCTTTTCATGCCTATGCAGGACTAGAACTCACCGTCTCCTGCTGATTGGCCCAAAGTCATCCAGTCGACTTTCACTACTAAAGCAGGACTAGAACTCACCGTCTCCTGGTGATTGGCCCAAAGTCACCCAGTCGACTTTCACTACTAAAGCAGGACTAGAACTCACCGTCTCCTGGTGATTGGCCCAAAGTCACCCAGTCGACTTCACTACTAAAGCAGGACTAGAACTCACCGTCTCCTGGTGATTGGCCCAAAGTCACCCAGTCGACTTTCACTACTAAAGCAGGACTAGAACTCACTGACTCCTGGTGATTGGCCCAAAGTCACCCAGTTGACTTTCACTACTAAAGCAGGACTAGAACTCACTGACTCCTGGTGATTGGCCCAAAGTAACCAGTCGACTTTGATTACTAAAGTAGGACTAGAACTCACCAACTCCTGGTGATTGGTCCAAAGTCACCCAGCTGGCTTTCATGCCTAAGGCACTCACCATCTCCTGGTGATTGGGCCAAAGTCACTCAATTGGCTTTCACTACTAAAGCAGGACTAGAACTCACTGTCTCCTGGTGATTGGCCCAAAGTCCCCCAGTCAGCTTTCTCTACTTAAAGCAGGACTAGAACTCACCGTCTCCTAGTGATTGGCCCAAAGTCCCCGAGCTGAATTTTGTGCCTAATGTGGGATTAGAACTCACCGTCTCCTGGTGATTGGCCCAAAGTCACCCAGTCAACTTTCACTACTAAAGCAGGACTAGAACTCACCGTCTCCTAGTGATTGGCCCAAAGCCCCCCAGCTGGATTTTGTGCCTAAGGCAGGACTAGAACTCACCGTCTCCTGGTGATTGGCCCAAAGTCACCCAGTCGACTTTCACTACTAAAGCAGGACTAGAATTCACCATCTCCTGGTGCTCGGCCCAAGTCCCCCAGCCAGCTTTCATGCCTAAGGCGGGACTAGAACTTACACTCTCCTGGTTTCTAGTCCAGTGCCTTAACCTCTAGACCAAACTGGCTTCCTCCAGCCAATACCATGTTTCCCGGGCGGCGGGAGTGCAGGGGGAATCCCCATTTCCCCCTCTCCGGCCCTTTTGCAGCTTCACGTCCTTCTTCAGATGTTTGGACTGAACTGGGTTTTGTCGCTGTTTGACACCTCCTTTCCCAGTCTCGGGCAACGTCGAGGCCCGCGCCCTTAGGCCAGGAAGCGTCGTTAATTGGCAAATCATGTTTCCTGCAGGGTGGTAGTTTGCATCTCCACATATTTAGAAAGTCAGAAGTCTGGAGGGAAGCCAGAAGCCTGGAGGGAGGCTGCTTTTGGGAATAACCACAAGAAATGAGGAACAGTTGCCGGCTATACCGTGGTCCTCTTCTTACGACCATTTGGTTCAGCGACCGTTTGAAATTACGACAGCGCTGGGATCAAAAAGTGACCGTTTTTTCACATTTAACGGCCGTTCCAGCATCTCTCTCCCCCCCACCCCGGGGTCACGTGATCCAAATTAAGACGCTTGGCAACAGACTCCTATTTATGACAGTGGCAGTGTCCCCTTTTGTGACCTCAAGTCGACGGGGAAGCCCGATGGTTTTCTTGCAGGTGTTTCATTACCGAACTAGGATACATCATCAGTGGTAGAAGGAAATGGGGTTTGCAAAGAGGAGGAGGAGGGCTGTGGGGTCCTTGGTGCTCTCTTGAGGTTGGTGGTTTTCTTGCAGGCGTTTCATGACCCAACTAGGATACATCATCAGTGCTAGAAAGGAGCAGGGTTCGTGGAGGAAGATGAGATGATTATGGAGTCCCTGGTGCTCTCTGAGCTTGGGTGCTTTCTTGCAGACGTTTTATGACCCAGCTAGGGAACATTATCAGTAGTAGAAAAGGGAATGGAGTTTGCAAAGGAGGAGGAGGAGGACTGTGTGGGTCCTTGAACTCTCTGAGTGGTTTTCTTGCAGACGTTTCATGACCCAACTAGGTAGCATCATCAGTGCTAGAAGGAGGGGTGGGGTTTGATGTTATCAAGTTGGCTCATCAAACGTCTGCGAAAAAACCCGACCGAACTCCAGAGAGCACCAAGGACCCCACAGCCACCATTTTTGTTTCCCATAATTCCCCTCCCCTTACTGATGCATTGTGGGAATGAAAAGGTAGCTGGATTGTTTCCCTGATGTATTTTAAGGATGCCCAGCTGCACATGTTAGCCTGTGGAAGAAGAATGAGCTTTCTCAAGGACCGTCTGGATGCCCAAATGGGTTCTCATTTTCAGAGGGAAGGAGAGGTAAATACGCAGAGCAAACAGCTTGCCAGGCCTTGTAAAAATCAGGAGTTGCTAGTGGCCTAATCCTGTTTATTATTTGTTTGTAGATTATTATTATTATTATTATTATTTCTTGCACTTAGGGTCCTAAACAGATTTAATGTATGGGGGGTGGGGGGGGGACAGGAATTTCCTGCAGAACAGGAAATTAAAAATATATTATTTCTTGAAAATGCTCGCGTAAACCATTTGTAATACCTGGGTGTTAACCTGATGCCAGGTGCGGCTTTGAATGCCTGTCGAAATGCAAATGCATGGCGTAAATCGGAAATATCCTTTGCAATTTGGATTTGTTTGTCTTTGGGGTTTGTTCTGTGCCCGGAGAGGCTGGCGTTTGGGATTGTAAACTGAGGCACTGAGCCGCAAAGGAGCCTGGGATCCCCATCAGAACGGACCTTCCTCATTGGCTCACTTCCCTCTTTAGCCGAATATTTATTTAATGCGATTTATTGATTGCATTTCTAGGCTGCCCGCTTCAGTGTTACGTGAATGTGGGCCTGTGGTTGCAGCATGATAAAACAAAGTTAGAAAACATTAAAATACTATACAAGTAATCCTGGATTTACAAGCATTCATTTAGTGGCCACTTGAAGTTACAACAGCACTGAAAAAAGCGACTTATAACTGTTTTTCACACTTACGACGCTCGCAGAATCAGACAATTGGCAACTGGCTCGTATTTACGACAGTTGCAGTGTTCCTGGAGGTCCCATGAGCCGCCTTTTGCGACCTTCTGACGAGCAAAGTCAATGGGGGAGCTGGGTTCACTTAACGACCGTGTTACTCACTTAACAACTGCAGTGATTCACTTAACAACTGTGGCAAGAAAGGTCGTAAAATGAGGCAAAGCTCACTTAGCAAATACAGGTAGTCCTTGACTTACAACAATATCGTGACAGTTCAAAGTTACAACAGCCCTGAAAAAAGGGCCATTTTTCACACTTATGACCGTTGCAGCATCTCTGTGGTCGCGTGATCAAAATTCCGACGCTTGGCAACGGATTTGTATTTATGACGGTTGCGGTGTCATGTGAGGTCATGTGATCATCTTCTGAAGAGCAAAGTCAACAGGGAAGCCGGATTCATTTAGCGACTGTGTGACTCACTTAACAACTGCAGTGATTCACTGAACAACCATGGCAAAAAAAAGGTCGTAAAACAGGGCAAAATTCACAGTTAACAAATAACTCACGTAGCAACACAAATTTGCGGCTCAATTGTGGTCGTAAGTCGAGGGCTACCTGTAACTTTGAACTGTCATTAAATGAGTCAAGGACCAGCTGTACTACGGCTAAAAGACTGATATTGCAGCATTGGAAAAAAATAAATGTATGGGCCATTCACTCAATGGATCAGAGACCTGATTGTACTCACCTCCTATGAGACAGATGGATAAGTATGGATAAGTATAATAATACAGAATATGAAACCCCTTTTTGCAAAATACAGTTGCTTTTTAAAAAAGTACGACGGTTATATAAGTGTTTAATAGAAATAAATAGATGCATGCTGGCATAACATTTGCATTAGATAAGTATATATAGAACTAAAACTGATTATCGCTATAACTGTTTTTTTTCTTTCTTTCTTCCGCTGTATTTTTGTCACCTTTTTTTAAATCACTTGTTACGCTTTTGTTTTCCTTTGATAATGTATGCCTTTCTCCCCTGGTTATCTCTGCGTTTTGTTCCTTTTTTTCCTGTGATTATCATTCGAAAGAAAGAAAGAAATGTGGATTTTTTTTTTCCTTTCCTAAAGCTCTTACCAAAACGTTTCATTCAACAGGAACTTTGCTGCTTTCGTTATCTAGAATTTGTGTTGGAGACGTTCGTCGCTTTGAGTTATTTGTAAAAAAATAATAATAATAATCAAGCAGGGATACAGAGAAAGAACTAATAAATGGGGGGGGCACTGAAATACAATTTTATCCCATTTTATTTATTTATCTATATATTAAATTATTGTATTTTATTCCAATCTCATTTTAAATCGTATTTTATTCCAATTTCATTTTAAATCGTATTTTATTCCAATTCCATTTTAAATTGTTTTTTTTATCAGATTTTAATAATAATTTGTGTCGGGAACTCTGCACTGTGATATGGCCCAAGGGCTAATCAATAAGGTAAAGTAAACTTAACTAATAAATAATATTTTTTTCTAAAAATGTCCTGAAAGAGCTTTCGATGAGCTAGCTGGCTGGCTGATTTTACTCTCAAAATATAAAAAAATAAAAACGGGAATGTGCTTTTACGATGTCATTTGTGTCGTTGGGGAAACCCGAAGTTTCACCTCGCCTGGTTTTGTCTTGCCTCTTAGATCTTCTCCCAAGAATATATCAACCTGCTGCTCTCCATGTATTTCTTCGTCCTTGGGATCCTCGCCCTGTCCCACACCATCAGGTAAAAACCAGAAATGTGAAGAACAGAATGTACTGTGAATGCAAAATATCTAAAAAGCTTGTAATTCCAGGAAATCTATTAAATTAATTAAATTGATACGCGGCCTGTCTCACTGTCTCGAGCGACGCGAAACAGAGAAAATAAGCTGTTTGCTTTGTTAAAAAAAAAAAAAAAGAACAGGACACAAGACTTATGACAGATGTCCTTGGGGGTAGATATAACCCCTTTTCTGACCTCTGCATTTTGGCTGTCCTACAACTGGCCCCCATTTACATCACTGCGGTCATGTGTCCTCATTTTACGACATTTTTTTGCCAAAAACTGGCAATTACTTGTAGTTTCCGGCAAAAACACCCCATGGGTTCGCTTAACGACTGCATCAGTTGCTTTAACGGTTGCTGCATTCGCCTTACGACCGTGGCCTTTGTTTTTTCAAATGCGGCACTCCCTTAATGACCGCCACAAAAGAAAATCAGGTCCTTCGTTTGTCCTGCTTTATGACCGTCATGCCTTATAATGAACAGGATCTGTTACCAAGGACTACCTGTATACACCGAAACACACCTGATACACAAGAATGCTTTTTAAACAAACCCATTGGTCTGCTTAATGACCGCAGCAGCCACTTAACGACGGCTGCAAAAATAATGTCCAAAAAACTGGTTCGGATACATGATTCGCGGACTGTCACAACTTAGGGCTGTGATGGGCAGGCTCCCTTACGGTCGTAACTCGAGGACTACCTGCACTAAGTGAGTCATGCTCATCCTGTCCCTGAAATATCCTTTTTATACCTTTCTGGCTATTTAACAGATGAACCGAGTTGGAAGGGACCTTGTAGGTCATCTAGTCCAACCCCCTGCCCAAGCAGGAGACCCCACACCATTTCTGACCGATGACAGTCCGGTCTCTTCTTGAAAGCTTCCAGGGATGAAGCTCCCACAATTTCTGAAGGCAACTTCTGTTCCATGGGTTGATTGTCCTCACTGTCAGAAAATTCCTCCTTATTTCCAGGTTGAATCTCTCCTTGTTCAGTTTTCATCCATTATTCCTTCTCTGGCCTTCGGGTGTTTTACAAAATAGCTTGACCCCCTTCCTCCTCTCTGGGGCAGCCCCTCCAATATTGGAAGATGCTCTCCTGTCTCCCCTGGTCCTTCTCTTCACTAGACTAGCCGTGCCCAGCTCCTGCAACCATTCATCGTATGTTTGAGCCTCCAGTCCTCTAATCCTCTTGGTTGCTCTTCTCTACACTCTTTCTAGAGTCTTAATATCCTTTACAAATTAACAGACTTGGAAGGGACCTTGTAGGTCATCTAGTCCAGCCCCCCTTCCCCAAGCAGGAGATCCTACACCATTTCTGACCGATGGCAGTCCAGTCTCTTCTTGAAAGCTTCCAGTGATGAAGCTCCCAAAGGCAACTTCTGTTCCATTGGTGGATTGTTCTCACTGTCGGAAAATTTCTCCTTATTTCCAGGTTGAATCTCTCCTTGATCGGTTTCCATCCATTATTCCTTGTCTGGCCTTCAGGTGCTTTGGAGAATAGCTTGACCCCCTTCCTCCTCTCTGGGGCAGCCCCTCCAATATTGGAAGATGCTCTCCTGTCTCCCCTGGTCCTTTTCTTCACTAGACCAGCCATGCCCAGTTCCTGCAACCGTTCATCGTACGTTTTAGCCTCCAGTCCCCTCATCATCCTTGTTGCTCTTCTCTGCACTCTTTCTAGAGTCTCAACATCTTTTTTATAGTGTGGTGACCCAAACTGGATACAGTACTCTAGGTGTGGCCTTACTAGGGATTTACAGAGTGGTATTAGAACCTCACTTGATCTTGATTGAATCCCTCTGTTAATGCAGTTTAGGATTGCATTGCCTTTTTTGGCTGCTGCCGGACACTGCTGGCTCCTATTTAGCTGGTTGTCCACTAAGACTCCAAGATCCCTCTTATAGTGACTGCTATTAAGCCTGGTTTCCCCCAGTTTATATGTGTAATTTTGGTTTTTCTTGCCTAAGTTGTAAGACTTTACTTTTCTCTACGTTGAATTTCATTTTGTTAGATAGGTTTCTTCTCTTCTCTACCAGCGCAGAAAATCTAAGTCTTTGGGCTCAGTGAAAGCAAAATACATCTGCAAGTAAAGGTGCTTAGTTGATTATTGGCACATAAAAGAAAGGTTAAAATCTTGGCAGGGGCTTAAGTTTAATAGTTAACCGCCTTATCAGATGGGAAACGGGCACCCAGCTGGCTGCTGAGCTTCCTCCCCGTTACCAGGAATGAGAATATTTACGTATGGGTGGAAAACATCTGTCATCTTTTGAGGCCAGCTTTCCCTGTTGAAAACAAAGGAGTCCCGGCCTTTTAAAAACGAGTTTTTTTTTTTTAAAAAGCTTCATTTTGATTTGCAGGTGCCAAATAAAGGCTCAACGTTGCCTTGCTCAGTTCAGCCATTGGCGTGCCAACAACCAAAAAAATGAAGGATTATTTTGCAAGGTCTTCTTTGTATGATGAATGAAAACTGTTGATCGGCAATCCTGGAACAGAATTTGGGGGGGTGCACAGCCTCATACCCTAACCCTGTAGGATCTTTCACCCAGCTTTGAGAAGAGGGGGGTGAACAGTGCTTTTTCTGGAGAATTTCAAGTCAGAATGTTGATTATAAATTAATAATACAGAATAACAAGAGTTGGAAGGGACTTTGAAGGTCTTCTAGTCCAACCCCTTGCTCAGGCAGGAAACCCTGTACCATTTTTGACAGGTGGCTGTCCAGTTTCTTCTTAAAATCCTCCAGTGATGGAGCAGCCGCAACCTCTGGTGGCAAGCAGTTCCACAGATGAATTGTTCTTAACTGTCAGGAAGTTTCTCCTGAATTCCAGGTTGCTTCTCTCCTTGATTCGTTTCCGTCCGTTGCTTCTTGTCCTGCCTTCTGGTGCTTCAAAACCCCTCCAGAACCAATTCTTATCGGGTGCCGATTTGTTTGGGGTATGTGTGTGTGTCTCCAATTCCAGGTGCTAGTTATCACCTTTAAATCCCCTTATCATTTGAAGGTTTTTAATTTTTAATTTTTATTTATTTTTATATGCCGCCCTTCTCCGGAGACTCAGGGCGGCTTACAGTGCGTTAAGCAATAGCCTTCATACTTTTGTATATTTTATACAAAGTCAGCTTATTGCCCCCACAATCCGGGTCCTCATTTTACCTACCTTAGAAAGGATGGAAGGCTGAGTCAACCTTGAGCCTGGTGAGAATTGAACTTGCAGTAATTGCAGGCAGCTGGATGTTAAATGCTGCCTTAGTAGGAGGCATTAGCCTCCTACGCCACTCAGGCTCCTTATAAGGTTATTTGAAGGGTCATTTTTTCCCCCAGTTTCATCTATCCAACCCACCAGAGCAGGGAGACGGGAGATGTTATGGGCCCCTTCCTCTAAATGAAGTCCATCTGGTGGGACCCCCGAAGGGCCTTCTCCGTGGTGGCTCATGGCTGCAGGGATAAGATTAATTTATTTTTTTATTTTCTTATACTTATATGCCGCCCTTCTCCCAAAGGACTCGGGGCGGCTCACAGGAATTAAAACGATGAAAACAATAAAAATAGCAACTAAAATAATCATTTAAAATCTCCCAATTAAAAAAAATCACCCATCAGATCAGCAAATTTGTTGAAAAAGCCATGTCTTCAGGCCATATAAATTTTATTTATTTATTTAAATTTGATTTATATACCCTTAAATTTGAAATCAATCATTTTTCTAATAGTTAACCTTAACTCTAAATCATCCTATTCAAATATTTCCCCTTTGCGTCCTTTTCACAACATAATATAATTTCCAGTATTTCCCTAAATTCCCTTATTCCAATCACAAATATTTTTCTTTGTCAATTTATTTATTTTTTTTTAATTTGATTTATATGCCGCCCTTCTCCGGAGACTCAGGGCGGCTTACAAGGCGTTAAGCAATAGCCTTCATCCTTTTGTACATTTATACAAAGTCAGCTTATTGCCCCCAAAATCTGGGTCCTCAATTTACCTACCTTAGAAAGGATGGAAGGCTGAGTCGACCTTGAGCCTTGGCGAGATTCGAACTTACTTTTAATTGCAGACAGCTGGTGTTAAATTACAGAGCTCTGTCTGTTGAGCTATCCAGGCTCCATATAAATTTTCTTAATCAATATATAATGGCTAATGGCATCAGAGCTTATGGCATCATTGTGAGGCTTCAGATTTCCATGTTTATAATTCTGAGTTTTACAATTTCAGCTACCTTAGTATAATGACTGGGAATTCTGGGAGTTGAAGTCCACCCGGTTTAACATTTATTCCCATGCTGGAAGGGGAATTCTGGGAGTTGAAGTCCACACACCTTAAAGTGCCTGAGGTTGAGAAACACTGCTCTTAACTCTTTGGTACTCCTTTAGTTAGCTTTATAAAGGTATTTTTGTGCGATTTTGATTTTCCTTTCATACCGCTGCCCTTCTTGATTATGCTTTTTAAAACAACGATTCCTTCCCTTCTTTTTCACCTTTCTTTCCTTCTCTTCCTCCGATCTCATTTCAGCCCCGTGATGAATAAATTCTTCCCAACCAACTTTCCCAACAAGCAGTATCAACTCCTTTTTACTCAAGGCTCAGGAGAAGCAAAAGAAGGTAAGTTTGTTCCCTTGTTCAGCCAAAAGCTTGGAGAATTTCCTCTGTGAATCTTTGCTTCTTGCCTTCGTCTGTCTGCTTGTGTAGTGCCGTGGAACAAATGCTTTCGGCATCTTTCCTGACTGTGTTGTGTTGCGGCCAATGAGTGAATTTAAAAGAACAGCAAAACTTTATTAGTTACTATTTCTTTATCTGTCTATCCATCTATCCATCCATCTATCTAATTGAACCTTATCTGTCTGTCTGTCTGTCTATCTATCTCTATGTCTCTCTACGATCTATTGTATCTGCTTACCTACCAATTATTTCTCTCTCTGCCTACCTACCAATCTCTCTCTCTCCCTCCCTCCCTCCCTACCAACATCTATCTGTCTGTCTGTTTCTCTCTCTGTCTCTCGCTCTCTATATCTGTCTGTCTGTCTGTCTATCTATCTATCTTTGTGTCCATCTACCTATCTATCTATCTATCTATCTATCTATCTATCTATCTATCTATCTATCTATCTATCTATCTATCTATGTTTTTCCTCTAGCCAGGTTTTCCCTACGTAACTAAAGTTTTTCTGCAGAAAATAGATACTATACCTTTACAGGGAGGATACATAAGATGTGGGTGTGGCCTACTGATGAAAGCAAACGAGCTGGAAATAGATCTATATAGGTCTCCCACCTAGCAGGAAGAGCTTGCTGGCTGCTAGAAAGGAAAAAAGCCCAGAATCGAGTGGATGTGATTCTACTGCGCAGAAAAACCTTGGTTACGTAGGGAAAACCTGGCTAGAGGAAAAACACACATAAACCCTACGAAGAAGTAAGAAAATAGATTCTATCTATCTATCTATCTATCTATCTATCTATCTATCTATCTATCTATCTATCTATCTATCTTTGTGTCTGTCTGTCTGTCTATCTTTGTGTCTGTCTGTCTGTCTATGTATCTTTGTGTCTATCTATCTATCTATCTCTATCTATCTATCTATCTATCTATCTATCTATCTTTGTGTCTGTCTGTCTATCTTTGTGTCTATTTGTCTGTCTATCTATCTTTGTGTCTATCTATCTATATCTATCTATCTATCTATCTATCTATCTATCTATCTATCTATCTATCTATCTATCTATCTATCTATCTTTGTGTCTGTCTCTTTCTATTTAACCATCCATCTATCTATCTGACATTGCATGCCAAAACAATTAGACACAAAGACATTTTTTCCCCTTCTGTGCCTTCACTCTGCTGAATTCCCACAGCACTGTCTTAAGCCTAAGGATATTTACCTATACGGTAGGGCTGTTTTCCTATTATCCTTCTCATCTTTTATCAGTTGTTGTTATATCTTACCATTAATTATTGTAACTATGATCTTTGATATATGGCCTCTCCCCTTGTTGTTGTATGTACTCTGACAGCTTGTGCACCGGAGACAAATCCCTTGTGTGTCCAATCACACTTGGTCAGATAAAGTTATTTCTTTCCTGCCTTGTCTTTCGTATACACATGCATACATATATACATGCTCTTTTTTTTAAATGCACACACACTCTCCTCCATACTTAACTCAAGTCCTCCACAACTGGACGGGCAGGTACCATCCAGAGGGATGGACATCACTACGTCTGGCTTCATAGACACTCGGAAGAGTGGATTTTATTTATTTATTTATTTATTAAATTTATATGCCGCCCCTCTCCGGAGACTCAGGACGGCTCACAATACATTTTTAAAAAAACATTCTAAAAACATTTAAAAGATTAAAAAACATTAAAAACCTTAGAACGCATTCACACCATTCATGGCCGGATCTCGCCAGATTGCAACAGCGAGATCAATGGTCCCAGGCCTGCCGGAAAAGCCAGGTCTTCACAGCTTTTCAGAAGGCCAATAGGGTGGGGATGGTCCGGACCTCAGGAGGTAACGGGGGTAACTGCCCCATTATCTTCCAGAGAGCTGGGGCAGCCACAGAGAAGGCCCTCCCCTGCGGGCCCGCCAGCCGGCATTGTTTAGCTGATGGGACCCGGAGGAGACCAACTCTGTGGGATCTTACCGGTCGCTGGGAGCTATGGATGGTCTTCAGGACCCCTTTTACCTCCCAGATTCCTTGCTTTCTTTTTTTCTTTCTGTTATTCAGTTTTTATTTATTTTTATTCAAAGCCTTAAAATACAAACTCCCCAAAAAGTGTGTGTGTGGGGGGGGAAATACAAAAACAAAACTAGATAAAAACTATATACAAAAAGTACAGAAAAAGGGGAAAAAAACCCGACAAAACAAACATATACATAAATTGTCCGTTGAACACTTATAAATATATTTAAAATTTAATAACGACCTCCCCACCCCCACCCCCTTGTGGAAAAGGCACCCCCTTCTTTGCAGATTGACAAGACCTGCAGCTACTCTTGCCTTCTTGATTTGACAGGTCTGGCATCTGTTGGTGGGATTTGGGGAGGGGGCTCCCACGGGCTTCAGCCTAACTCCCTTTTATCTGGTCCAGCTGACATTTTTCCTTCGTTTCCTTGCTGCTTACCTATCTCTCTTTTCCCGTCACTTTGCTTATGTGCCTCCTTCCTCTTCAGGTAGGTCAGCTTCAGCGTCTCCTCACGCTAGTGACCGTGAAAATGGCTTTTCTTATTTGTCTCGTTGCAGAGATTGTGAACTACGAGTTTGACACCAAGGATCTCGTCTGCCTGGTCATGAGCAGCGTTGTGGGCGTCTGGTACCTGCTGAGGAAGGTAGGCTGACCTGCTGGCGAGGCAGGTGAAGTGTTAATACCACTTTATAATGCCTTGGTTAAGGCCACACCTGGAATCCTGCATCCAGTTTTGGTCGCCACGATGTAAAAAAGATGTGGAGACTCTAGAAAGAGTGCAGAGAAGAGCAACCAAGAGGATTAGGGGACTGGAGGATAAAACATATGAAGAACGGTTGCAGGAACTGGGTATGTCTAGTTCAATGAAGAGAAGGACCAGGGGAGACATGATAGCAGTCTTCCAATATCTCAGGGGCTGCCCCAAAGAAGAGGGAGTCAAACTATTCTCCAAAGCACCTGAGGGCAGGACAAGAAGCAATGGGTGGAAATGAATCAAGGAGAGAAGCAACTAAGAACTAAGGAGAAATTTCCTGACAGTGAGAACAATTAATCAGTGGAACAACCTGCCTCCAGAACAGGTGTGAAATGCTACTGGTTCGGGCTGGTTCAACCAAACCGGTAGTAAAAAAATGCTTTAAAAAAGTAATAAAAAAAAATTGTCGCGATCACAGGCACAGCTGATTGTCACAGCTGATCGTTGGAACTTCTAAAAAAACTTTTTAGTTAAAAAATGCTTTAAAACGGTTTTTTTAAAAGTTGGCCACGCCCACCCAGTCACATGACACCCCCCACCCCCCCCAAAAGCCATGCCCATAGAACCGGTAGGGAAAATTTTTGAATTTCACCAGAAGTTGCTAATGCTCCAACACTGGAACTTTTTAAGAAGTTGTTGGATAACCATTTGTCTGAAGTGGTGTAGGATTTCCTGCCTAAGCAAGGGGTTGGACTAGAAGACCTCCAAGTTCCCTTCAACTCTGTTATTCTTCTATTTTTCCTTCCCTCTTCATTCTCACTTCTTTCTTCTTCCTTCCCCTCTTTTTCTTTTTCCTTCCTTCTCTTCTTTTTCCTCCTTCCTTCCTTCCTTCCTTCTTTCCCTTCTTTTTAACCATTTGTCTGAAGTGGTGTAGGGTTTCCTGCCTAAGCAGGGAGTTGGACTGGAAGACCTCCAAGTTCCCTTCCAACTCTGTTCTATTCTATTTTTCCTTCCCTCTTCCTTTCTTTCCTTCGTTCTTTTGTTCTTTCCTTTATTCCTTCCTTCTTTCCTTCCTTCCGTCTCTTCTTTTTCCTTCCTTCCTTCCTTCCTGAAACTCCCTTCCCTCCCTCCCAAATGAACCTTCCTTCCTCAACATTAATCAACTTTCCTTCCTTCCTTCCCTTCTTTTTCCTTCTTTCTTCCTTCCTTCCTTCCCTTCTTTTTAACCACTTGTCTGAAGTGGTGTAGGGTTTCCTGCCTAAGCAGGGGATTGGACTAGAAGACCTCCAAGGTCCCTTCCGACTCTGTTCTATTCTATTTTTCCTTCCCTCTTCCTTTCTTTCCTTCGTTCTTTCGTTCTTTCCTTTATTCCTTCCTTCTTTCCTTCCTTCCGTCTCTTCTTTTTCCTTCCTTCCTTCCTTCCTTCCTTCCTGAAACTCCCTTCCCTCCCTCCCAAATGAACCTTCCTTCCTCAACATTAATCAACTTTCCTTCCTTCCTTCCCTTCTTTTTAACCACTTGTCTGAAGTGGTGTAGGGTTTCCTGCCTAAGCAGGGAGTTGGACTGGAAGACCTCCAAGGTCCCTTCCAACTCTGTTCTATTCTATTTTTCCTTCCCTCTTCCTTTCTTTCCTTCGTTCTTTTGTTCTTTCCTTTATTCCTTCCTTCTTTCCTTCCTTCCTTCCATCTCTTCCTTTTCCTTCCTTCCTTCCTTCCTGAAACTCCCTTCCCTCCCTCCCAAATGAACCTTCCTTCCTCAACATTAATCAACTTTCCTTCCTTCCTTCCCTTCTTTTTAACCATTTATCTGAAGTGGTGTAGGGTTTCCTGCCTAAGCAGGGGGTTAGACTAGAAGACCTCCAAGGTCCCTTCAACTCTGTTATTCTTCTATTCTATTTTTCCTTCCCTCTTCATTCTCATTTCTTTCTTCTTCCTTCCCCTCTTTTTCCTTTTCCTTCCTTCTCTTCTTTTTCCTTCTTCCTTCCTTCCTTCCTTCCTTTCTTTTTTAACCACTTGTCTGAAGTGGTGTAGGGTTCCTGCCTAAGCAGGGGGTTGGACTAGAAGACCTCCAAGGTCCCTTCCGACTCTGTTATTCCGAGGCTGGGCATTTTGAGCAGGCCGCAGACAGGAGGGCCTGCGGAAGGAAAGGGCTGGACTGCTGTTGGACGGAGGGCGTGGGAAGCGTGGTTCATGGTCCTTCTTCTCTTTTTTCCCCAGCACTGGATTGCCAACAACCTCTTCGGCCTGGCCTTCTCTCTCAACGGGGTGGAGCTGTTACACCTGAACAACGTCAGCACGGGCTGCATCCTCCTTGGAGGCCTCTTCATCTACGACGTCTTTTGGGTAGGCCTCCGCTCCGGCCGTTGGTTCCCCAGGATCTCAGCAGATCCCGCGGACCACATTCTGGGTTCTTTCTTTATTAGCTTTTCATCCCGCCTTTTTGTTATTTTTATAAGTAACTCAAGGTGGTAGATGTATTTAGAAATTCTAAATTTGCCGGACTTGAACATTTTGACTCTACAAAAAACCACCTTACTCGGAGCAGCTCACATCCTCCGACGATACCTTAACAGTTCCTAGGTCCTTGGTTAGGACTCGAGCTGCTGAGCTATTAACCAGCCTCAAAGGCTGTGAATCTCACCAAAGATTAACCAATAATAATAATAATAATATAATAATAATAAGAGGTGGTGACTCCAAAAAGCTCAGACGTAGAAACAGACTTTCTTGCAATCAGGCTGCACCTGGTGGATGTCCGCCTGCCGGTCTCCCCTCTTCTTTAATTCTGCTTTCCTCTTTTCTTAGGTCTTTGGCACCAACGTGATGGTGACCGTGGCCAAGTCATTCGAAGCCCCCATCAAATGTGAGTAGTTAATGGAAATCCCCCCCCAAAAAAACTACCTTTAATGGCAGCTCACCCTGATCGACGTTGGTAGCCCCTCCCCAACTAGGCGGGTCCCTTCAAGATAACGGGGAAGTCCTCAGCATACAACCATACTCGCTTAGTGACCGAAGTCAACAACGGCACTGAAAAAAAAAAGGGGGGGGACGGACTTAAATGACCGTTTTTCACACTTAACGACCTGTGATCCAAATTTGGCTGCTTGGCAACGGGCTCGTATTTATGATGGCCGCAGGTGGGGGGGGGCGCTTGTCAGGTGATCCCTTTTGGCGACCTTCCGACGAGCAAAGTCAACTGGGGGGGGGGAAGCCGGATTCACTTAATGGCCGTGTGGTTTGCTTAACAGCTGCCCTGATTTGCTAAACAGCTTCAAAACCGGGTCGTAAATACCTTTTTGGGGGGGAGGGGGTGTTGGTTGGAACGTCAAGCGGTCGCTAAGTGACTGGTCGTAAGTCGGAGACTACTTGGTCTTATTTCCCTGAGGCTTTAGATCAGGGGTCTCCAATCTTGGCCACTGTAAGGCTTGTGGACTTCAACTCCCAGAATTCCTCAGCCAGCAAAGCTGGCTGAGGAATTCTGGGAGTTGGAGTCCACAAGCCTTACAGTGGCCAAGATTGGAGACCCCTGCTTTAGAGGGGAGGGGCTTTCACTTGTCTAAGGCTAAAGACCCCTCCCAGCCCAGAACCAAATGTCCTTTGATGTCTTTTGTGCCGATTTCAGGGGCTCCTCCACCTGAGATGGGCCCGGCAACCAGCATCTTTCTCTCTTTCATCTTTTCTCTCTCTCGTTCTTCCCCTGCAGTGGTCTTCCCCCAGGATCTGCTGGAGAAGGGCCTGGAAGCCGACAATTTTGCCATGCTGGGCTTAGGGGACATTGTGATTCCAGGTAAGGCAAATGATTATAAGGGTTACGGTAAATCTTCTTTCCTTCCTTCCTTCCTTCCTTCCTTCCTTCCTTCCTTCCTTCCTTCCTTCCTTCTTCCTTCCTTCTCTCCCACACTCCTCCCTTCCTTTTTTCTTCCTTCCTTCCTTCTCTCCCATCCACCCTCCTCCCTTCCTTCCTTCTCTCCCACACTCCTTTCTTCCTTTCTTCTATCTCTCACCCACCCTCCTTCCTTCCTTCCTTCCTTCCTTTCTCTCTTCTTTCCTTCCTTCCTTCCTTCTTCCTTCCTTCCTTCCTTCTCTCCTTCTCTTCCACCCACCTTCCTTCCTTTCCTTCTTTCTTCTTCCTTCCTTCTCTCCCACATTCCTTCCTTTCTTCCTCCTTCCTTCCCCCACCCACCCACCCATCTTCCTTCCTTCCTTTTTTCTTCCTTCCTTCCTCTCCCATCCATCCTCCTTCCTTCCTTCCTTCATTACCTCCTTCCACCCACCTTCCTTCCTTCCTTTCTTTCCTTCTTTCTTCTTCATTCCTTCTCTCCCACACTCCTTCCTTTCTTCTTCCTTCTTTCCCCCATCCACCCACCCACCCATCTTCCTTCCTTCCTTCCTTCTCTCCCATCCACCTTACTTCCTTATCTTCTTCCTTCCTTCCTTCTCTCCCATCCATCCTCCTTCCATCCTTCCTTTTTTCCTCTTCCTTCCTTCTTCCTTCCTTCTCTCCCATCCACCCTCCTTCCTTCCTTCCTTTCCTTCTTTCTTCTTCCTTCCTTCTCTCCCACACTCCTTCCTTTCTTCTTCCTTCCTTCCCCCATCCACCCACCCACCCATCTTCCTTCCTTCCTTCCTTCTCTCCCATCCACCTTACTTCCTTATCTTCTTCCTTCCTTCCTTCTCTCCCATCCATCCTCCTTCCTTCCTTCCTTCCTTCCCTCCTCTTCCTTCTTCCGTCCTTCTCTCTCATCCACCCTCCTTCCTTCCTTTCCTTCTTTCTTCTTCCTTCCTTCTCTCCCACACTCCTTCCTTTCTTCTTCCTTCCTTCCTTCCCCCATCCACCCACCCATCTTCCTTCCTTCTCTCCCATCCACCCTCCTTCCTTTCCTTCTTCCTTCTTCCTTCCTTCCTTCCTTCTCTCCCATCCATCCTCCTTCCTTCCTTCCTTCCTCTTCCTTCCTTCCTTCCTTCTTCCTTCCTTCTCTCCCATCCACCCTCCTTCCTTCCTTCCTTTCCTTCTTTCTTCTTCCTTCCTTCTCTCCCACACTCCTTCCTTCCTTTCTTCTTTCTTCCATCTCCCACCTACCCACCCTCCTTCCTTCCTTTCTCTCTTTCTCTCTTCTTTCCTTCCTTCCTTCTTTCTCTCCCACCCTCCCTCCCTCCCTCCCTCTTCCTTCCTTCCGCAACGTTAGCAACTGTAGCGATTCGCTTATCAACGGCAGCTTTTTGGGGGGCAAAAAAACCCATTTGACTGCCTTGCTTAACAACGGAAACGTTGCCCTTCATTATGTTTGTAAGCCAAGGCGTGTCTGCATTTGTAGCCACAAGAGGGCGCTGTGGGCCGGTTGCTATTTGAAATGAGACTAAATCCAGCTAACTGGCAGGAAAGACATCTAAAAACTGGACTGAAAACATTAAGATTTACGGTGACTTTATCCAATTTCCTCTCCCTCCAGGTATCTTCATCGCTCTTCTCTTACGCTTCGATATCAGGTAAATCCTTTGCAACAACTTGCCAATTGAAAAAAAATCTCCCCCCCCCCGCCCCCTTCCAGCATTAAGAGGACAAAGAGCAGAAAAGATGGTTAAGCTAAAACATACGGAGAACGGTTGCAGGAACTGGGTATGTCTAGTTTAATGAAAAGAAGGACTAGGGGAGATATGATGGCAGTGTTCCAATATCTCAGGGGCCGCCCCAAAGAAGAGGGAGTCAAGCTATTCTCCAAAGCCCCTGAGGGCAGGAGAAGAAGCAACGGGTGGAAACTAATCAAGGAGAGAAACAACCTAGAACCAAGAATAAATTTCCTGACAGTTAGAACAATTAGTCAGTGGAACAACTTGCCTCCAGAAGTTGTGAATGCTCCAACATTGAAGATTTTAAAGAACAGACTGGACAACCATTTGTCTGAAGTGGTGTAGGGTTTCCTGCCTAAGCAGGGGGCTGGACTAGAAGACCTCCGAGGTCCCTTCTCACTCTGTTATTACTGTTATTCCCTGACCACCACTTTGCCTTTGGCTCTGTTTCCCTAATTCCCTCAACCTGTGGGTTTGTAACTTGGCTTCTGGACTGTCCTAACCCCCCACCCCTTCGCTTATCATGACAGCCTAAAGAAGAACACTCACACGTACTTCTACACCAGTTTCATGGCCTACATTTTTGGACTCAGCGTGACTATCTTCATCATGCACGTCTTCAAACATGCTCAGGTGAGCTTGCTGGACCGGCCTCCTCCCCCCCCTTCCCCCCCCCCAGACCAGGTTGTAGGAGCTGAACAGGTTTGCAGGAACAAAATCGGCATTGGAAATCTGGGAGAGGACACAAAGGCAATTACTGTATCCCTTTAAGACAGGGGTGGGCTCAGGAATTCTGGGAGTTGAAGTCCATGGGTCATAAAGGAATCATCGTTCCCACCCCTCTCTTAAAGGGACAGGCCAACAGCATGGCTGCCTCAGGAATTCTGGGAGATGAAGTCCACAAGTCATAAAGGACTACCCAGTCCAGCAAACTATGGCTGTAAACGCTGAGTAGAGAGGCAGTCAGGTGTAGTGATGTCAGTGCTTAAGTATTCATTTGGGAAACTAAAACCGTATGACGCAGTCTAAGGCAAATAATAACTCTTCTCAAGAAGTAGGACTTCCAAAGGGAAGTAGTGAAGGGACAGAATCTGTAGTAGACTTGGAGAAAGAGTGGAGAACTTCCAAAGGGAACTAGTGAAGGGATAGAATCTGTAGTAGACTCAGGGAAAGAGTAGGACTTCCAAAGGGAAGTAGTGGAGGAGCAGGAGCTGTAGTAGACTTGGGGAAAGAGTGTAGAACTTCCAAAGAGAAGTAGTGGAGGAGCAGGATCTGTAGTAGACTTGGGGAAAGAGTATAGAACTTCCAAAGAGAAGTAGTGGAGGAGCAGGATCTGTAGTAGACTCGGGAAAAGAGTGTAGGACTTCCAAAGAGAAGTAGTGGAGGAGCACGATCTGTAGTAGACTCGGGAAAAGAGTGTAGAACTTCCAAAGGGAAGTAGTGGAGGAGCAGGAGCTGTAGTAGACTTGGGGAAAGAGTATAGAACTTCCAAAGAGAAGTAGTGGAGGAGCAGGATCTGTAGTAGACTCGGGAAAAGAATGTAGGACTTCCAAAGGGAAGTAGTGGAGGAGCAGGATCTGTAGTAGACTCGGGAAAAGAGTGTAGAACTTCCAAAGAGAAGTAGTGGAGGAGCAGGAGCTGTAGTAGACTTGGGGAAAGAGTATAGAACTTCCAAAGAGAAGTAGTGGAGGAGCAGGATCTGTAGTAGACTCGGGAAAAGAATGTAGGACTTCCAAAGGGAAGTAGTGGAGGAGCAGGATCTGTAGTAGACTCGGGAAAAGAGTGTAGAACTTCCAAAGAGAAGTAGTGGAGGAGCAGGAGCTGTAGTAGACTTGGGGAAAGAGTATAGAACTTCCAAAGAGAAGTAGTGGAGGAGCAGGATCTGTAGTAGACTCGGGAAAAGAGTGTAGGACTTCCAAAGGGAAGTAGTGGAGGAGCAGGATCTGTAGTAGACTCGGGAAAAGAGTGTAGGACTTCCAAAGAGAAGTAGTGGAGGAGCACGATCTGTAGTAGACTCGGGAAAAGAGTGTAGAACTTCCAAAGGGAAGTAGTGGAGGAGCAGGAGCTGTAGTAGACTTGGGGAAAGAGTATAGAACTTCCAAAGAGAAGTAGTGGAGGAGCAGGATCTGTAGTAGACTCGGGAAAAGAATGTAGGACTTCCAAAGGGAAGTAGTGGAGGAGCAGGATCTGTAGTAGACTCGGGAAAAGAGTGTAGAACTTCCAAAGAGAAGTAGTGGAGGAGCAGGAGCTGTAGTAGACTTGGGGAAAGAGTATAGAACTTCCAAAGAGAAGTAGTGGAGGAGCAGGATCTGTAGTAGACTCGGGAAAAGAGTGTAGGACTTCCAAAGGGAAGTAGTGGAGGAGCAGGATCTGTAGTAGACTCGGGAAAAGAGTGTAGGACTTCCAAAGGGAAATAGTGGAGGAGCAGGATCTGTAGTAGACTCGGGGAAAGAGTGTAGAACTTCCAAAGGGAACTAGTGAAGGGACAGAATCTGTAGTAGACTCGGGGAAAGAGTGTAGAACTTCCAAAGAGAAGTAGTGGAGGAGCAGGAGCTGTAGTAGACTTGGGGACGAGTGGAGGACTTCCAAAGAGAAGCAGCAGAAGAACAGGAGTTGTGGACTTCCATGGCTGGCTTAGAAATTCTGGGAGTTGAAGTCCCCCCCATCTTCAGATGGCCAAGGTTGAGGAACACCTGGGCACGGAGTTTGGGATTCTCAAAGACACCTCTGGGCTGTGACCCCCGTCACCTTGTGATTACGACGGCCCCAGATTGGAGAAGGCTTCCCACCGAGGACCACGAGAAGGTCATGAGCGACTCCGCTGCTGTGAGTGAGGGGTGTATCTTAGCAGGCTGGCCCCCCCCCCGGTTCCCTCTGACGTTCTCCCTTGGTCTTCCTTCTTCAGCCTGCTCTGTTGTACCTGGTTCCGGCGTGCATCGGCTTCCCTCTTCTGGTGGCCTTGGCCAAAGGAGAAGTGACCGACCTGTTCAGGTGAGTCCAATGGGTGTGGTACAGGAAGTCCTCGACTTAACGACCGTCGCAGAGCCTGGGATTTCTGCTGTCAGTCACGACCGTCGTAGGTCGAGGTGCCCATGTTGACTGATACTGGTGACCTTCTTGTTAATGGTCGTAAGCTATGATGGACCTCAAGTGGTTTTTATCCATGAGACCAAGCCTGATTTGATGAGTTTTAGGCGGCCGTTAAGCGAACGCAGTGTTTTGGGGGGATGCTGAGATGATAATCCCCCTCCCCAGAAGTCTACAGAAGTGGGCAGACTTCCCTAGAGCAGGGGTCTCCAACCTTGGCAACTTTGAGACGTGTGGACTTCCTCAGCCAGCTTTGAGGAATTCTGGGAGTTGAAGTCCACACGTCTCAAAGTTGCCAAGGTTGGAGACCCCTGCCCTAGAGAGTAGCTTCCTTTGTGAGTTAGGGTCTCCCCTATAGGCTCAAAACCCAGATACGGGTAATCCTCGCCTTACGACCACAATTTTGAGCCCAAAATTTGATCACATGATGCCAGGAGACTGCAACCGTCATAAATACGAACCAGTTGACAAATGTCGGAATTTTGATCATGTGACCATGGAGGAGGAGGAGGAGGAAGAGGACTATGGGGTCCTTGGTGCTCTCTGAGCATGGTGGCTTTCTTGAAGACGTTTCATGACCCAACTAGGGAACCTCATCAGTGCTAGAGGAGAGTGGGGGTCTGCGGAGTGGAGAAGGAGGAAGAAGATTGTGAGGTCCTTCATGGTCTCTGAGCCTGGCTTGTTGGCTTGCAGGCATCTCATGACCCTTTTCTAAGAGTTATGGCATCTGCTGAGATACGTCCACCAGAAAAATCCTTCAGGACATTTTTGGATTGTTGTTCTGTGGTGCTTGATTCTCCACCTTCTGCTCCAGCTGGTCTCGTTTCTCCCGGGGAATTCTGGGACTTGAAGTCCACCTATCTTCAAAGTCTCCAAGATTGAGACTTATAGAACTGACCCAATAGGACCTCCTTCAATCAGGAACACCTCCTAGAAACCATATGGAGATGTCCACTTTGTTTTCATGCATGGGTTTGGCTTTGCCATCACCACCTGTATATGCTGGGCATCTAGTCCGTACCATGGAATTTGTGGTGGCCTTCCATTCCATCCTTCCAACCCTGCTTAGCTTTTCTGCCCAGATAGGACAAGCCAGGAGATGACTTGTTCCATTACTTCTTCAAGCTTGGTCTGGGATTCTCTTCCCATGGGAGAAACTTGGGGGTCAACAAGAGGGGGTTTAAGATGGGACTGGGATCACGGTGGCCCTGGGTTAGTCTGACAAGCCGTGTCAGGCCTTCAAGATATCTCAATTTCTCTTCTTAGTGGAAGACTTGAAATTGGTCTTCTGACTTGGTTCCAGAAGTCATGGGTGCTCCATCACTGGAGGTTTTTAAGAAGAGATTGGACAGCCATTTGTTGTTAGGATCTCCCGCTCAAGCAGGGGATTGGCCTACAACAGGGGTCTCCATCCTTGGCAACTTTAGGACTTGTGGACTTCAACTCCCAGAGTTCCTCAGAAGGAACTGGGCTAGAAGACCTCCAAAGGGTATTCATGTCCAACCTTGGCACTTTTTAAGACCTGTGGACTTCAACTCCTGTAGTAGACTGGGGAATTCTGGGAATTGAAGTCCACAAGTCTTAAAAGTGGCCAATATTGAACAACTCTAGTAGAAGGTCTCCTGGTCAAGCAGTGGGTTGGACTAGAAGACCTCCAAGGGGCATCCATGTCCAACCTTGGCACCTTTTAAGACCCATGGACTTCAACTCCCGTAGCGGATTGGGGAATTCTGGGAATTGAAGTCCACAAGTCTTAAAAGTGGCCAATGTTGAACATCTCTAGTAGAAGGTCTCCTGGTCAAGCAATGGGTTGGACTAGAAGACCTCCAAGGGCCATCCATGTCCAACCTTGGCACCTTTTAAGACCTGTGGACTTCAACTCCCGTAGCAGACCTGGGGAATTCTGGGAATTGAAGTCCCCAAGTCTTAAAGGTGGCCAATGTTGAACATCTCTAGTAGAAGGTCTCCTGGTCAAGCAGTGGGTTGGACTAGAAGACCTCCAAGGGGCATCCATGTGCAACCTTGGCACCTTTTAAGACCCATGGACTTCCAACTCCCGTAGCGGACTGGAGAATTCTGGGAATTGAAGTCCACTAGTCTTAAAAGTGGCCAACGTTGAACATCTCTAGTAGAAGGTCTCCTGGTCAAGCAATGGGTTGGACTAGAAGACCTCCAAGGGGCATTCATGTCCAACCTTAGCACCTTTTAAGACTTGTGGACTTCAACTCCCGTAGCGGACTGGGGAATTCTGGGAATTGAAGTCCACAAGTCTTAAAAGTGGCCAACGTTGAACATCTCTAGTAGAAGGTCTCCTGCTCAAACAGGGGGATGGACTAGAAGACCTCCAAGGTCCCTTCCAACTCTGTTAATTCTGTCATCGAGTCACCCCATGGGACCGCCCCAGTTTTGACACCTACCCACCCCGAACTCTTTCTCCGTGGGTAATCCAGCTGGAAAGGGAGGGAATGCGGGCAGCTTTGCCAAGCTCGTCTATGCCTCGCCAACTCTTCCTAAGCTTCTCTTTCGCCCCCTTCCCCACTGTGTCTCTGTCTCTCCTCTCCCCCCACTTCCTACTTGCCCCCTTTCTCCCTCCCTCTCTCTCTCTCTCTCCTGCAGCTATGAGTCTTCTGCCGAAATCTTGCCCCACACCCCACGGCTGACCCATTTCCCTAACGTCTCCGGGTCTCCGTCCAGCTTGGCCGATTCCATGCAGCAGAGCCCGACTTGTTCCCACAGACGCCGCCAGCAGAGTCCCAGCGTCATGTAGCCCCCCCCTCCCCTCCCCCCCAAAGGCAAGGCCCTGTCCACCCTGTCCACACTCTGGCCAGGTAGGGGGGAGAGCCGAGGGCCCCACGGAGCGGGGAGGGTCTGGGGTGGGGTGGGTGGGCACGGCGTGAGCCCCTTATCAATAAGAGGTTATTTTTAATTCTCACGAACGGGGTGTTAGGGAACTACAGGGCAGTCCTCGTTTTACGACCGCAGTTGAGCGCAATATTGTCACTGCCGAGCAAGGGAGCTTTGTCCCATTTGACGGGCCTTTCTTGCCAAGCGTTGTTAAGCGAATCAGGGCAGTTGTTCAGCACAGTAGGGGTAGTCCTGGAATTGCGACCGTAATCGAGCCCGAAATTTAGGTGGTAAACTCGAGAAACTGAAGCGAGCTTGCTCCATTTTCTGGCCTTAGTTGTCTTTAAGTGAAACACTTAAATTAGTCACACGGATGTTAAGTGAATCCGGCTTTTCCCCCCCCGTGGCTTTGTCGGTCAGAAGGTCGCAGAAGGGGATCACGTAACCCAAGGACACTGCGACAGTCGTAAATACGAGTCGGTGGTCAAGCATCCGAACGTAAATCGCGTGACCCCCAGGGATGCTGCCGACGGTCGTTAAGTGTGAGATATGGTCATAAGTCACTTTTTTCCAGTGCCGTCGTAACTTTGAAGGGTCCACTAAGTGAATAGTTGTAAGTTGAGGATTGTCTGTAGGAGATTTTCTGTAATTCTTACGAAAAGCTGATCTGGACCAACAACAAGAAAACAAAACAAGTTGTGATGTACAGTGAGCGACTAGATCAGTGTCTTAACTTTAAACGCATGGTGGTTCATTCAGTGACCGTCTGAAGTTACGACGGCGCTGGGGAAAAAAAGACTTATGACCGTTTTTCACACTTAACGACCGTCGCAACATCCCCATGGTCATGTGATTAAAATTCAGACGCTTGGCAACTGCCTCGTATTTATGATGATCGCAGTGTCCCAGGGTCACACGATCCCCTTTCTGACCAGCGGGGAAGGCCGGATTCACTTAACAACCGCGTGACTCATTTAAAAACGGCAGTGATTCGCTTAACAACTGTGGCGAGAAAAGTCGTAAAGTGGGGGCAAACGAGTTTCTCACCTAGCCACGTACATTTTGGACTCCGTTGTGGTTGCGAGGCGAGGGCTAACTTAAGTGGTCCTCAAGTTACGACTGGCCGCTGACCAACTGTTTCAAGATATATCCAAGCCCCCCCTCAAAAGGTATTTGGAACCCAGATTCACAATTGCAACGGATAGGCTCTTTCCTGCTTTTACACAATCACATTTTGTGTGTTTAGCAATAAGCTTATATATGCTTATTTCTACTAATCTAGTGGAAATATTAATTTAAAGGGCTACTCTCCAGTGGTGAAATTCAAATTTGTTTACTACCGGTTCTGTGGGCATGGTGTTGCTTGGTGGGCGTGGCAGGGGAAGGATACTGCAAAATCTCCATTCCTACCCTACTCCAGGGGGAAGGATATTGCAAAATCTCCATTCCCTCCCCACTCCTGGGGGAAGGATATTGCAAAATCTCCATTCCCTCCCCACTCCTGGGGGAAGGATATTGCAAAATCTCCATTCTCACCCCAGTCCAGGTGAAAGATACTGCAAAATCTCCATTCCCACCCCACTCCAGGGGATGGATACTGCAAAATCCCCATTCCCTCCCCACTCCTGGGGGAAGGATATTGCAAAATCTCCATTCCCACCCTATTCCAGGTGAAGGATACTGCAAAATCTCCATTCCCACCCCATTCTAAGGGAAGAGTACTGCAAAATCTCCATTCCCACCCCACTCCTGGGGGAAGGATATTGCAAAATCTCCATTCCCACCCCTCTCCTTGGAGAAGGATATTGCAAAATCTCCATTCTCACCCCAGTCCAGGTGAAGGATACTGCAAAATCCCCATTCCCTCCCCACTCCTGGGGGAAGGATATTGCAAAATCTCCATTCCCACCCTCCTGGGGGAAGGATATTGCAAAATCTCCATTCCCACCCCACTCCAGGTTAAGGATATTGCAAAATCTCCATTCCTACCCCACTCCAGGGGACGGATACTGCAAAATCCCCATTCCCACCCCACTCTAGGGGAAAGATACTACAAAATCCCCATTCCCACCCCACTCCTGGGGGAAGGATATTGCAAAATCTCCGTTCCCACCCCACTCTGAGGCCAGCCAGAGGTGGTATTCTCCAAACTACTCAAAATTTCTACCGGTTCTCCAGAACCTGCTGGATTTGGGCTGCTCCATCATGATATGCCATACGCTAAATAAATAAAAGTTATTTCTTGACCCTGATTTATGACAGGGTGTTGTTTTTTTGCCAGAAACCGGGGTTTTACTTCCGCTTCCTGGCCAAAAAAAACCCCGTCCATTGTGGACAAGGCAGTTCGCTTAATGACCTCAGCGTTCGTTTTACGACCGCTGTGTTTGTTTAACCCCTCTTGCAGAAAAATGTCATAAAATCAGGCTGGTCAAGTGAGTGTCTCGACGTACAACCGTCGGCCTCCATTACGGTTTTAAGTCAAGGACTACCTGTAACCGGTTTTATTTCAAAGCGGAAGCCACGTTCGTGAGCCGCAGAAAATCTTTGTCATTGCTTATCCCTTTTCACAAACGGGGTTAGTCGAAAAAGAGGAGAACAGACTACAGGGAGTCCTCGACTTACAACAGTTCGCTTAGTGACCATTCAGTTACATTGGAAAAAAGTGACTTAGGACCGTTTTTTTCACACTTACGACTGTTGCAGGGTCAAAATTCAGACGCTTGGCCAACTGGCTCCTATTTATGACGGTCGCAGTGTCCTGGGGGTGGGGAGGGGGGGTGTCCCGCGATCCCCCTTTTGCGACCTCTGATAAGCCAAATCAATGGGGAAGCCAGATTCATTTAACGACCGTCCGGCTCACTTAACAACTGCAGTGATTCACTTAACTGTGGCAAGGAAGGTCGTAAAACGGGGCAGAGACCTCCTTTAACAGCTTGTCTCGCTTAGCAACAGAAATTTAGGGCTTCGTTCTGTTCCCCACTCTAACTTAGTCTGCGTGCAAGCTCGAACTGATCTGGATGCTTCATTGAAAGAACAGGATACGGTGAAACGGGGGGAAAATAGGGATACATACAACGAGAACCAAAATACAAGATAGGCAGTATTGAGTAACTGCTGAACGCAACAATGAATAAATACAAGCAATTTAAATCTCGCCTGCGATGCTCTTTGTGTAGGATGTGGGTTTGTCCTTGGATGACCTTGTGCCACAGATTAAGGTGGACGCTTCCTTGTGCTTGTGCCTTCTCCAAATGCTAAAGGGAAATGGAGTCTGATTTCCCAGGGTTCACTTGGTTTGAGAGTGCAGGCTGATGGGTAAAGGGTCAGCTTCAAACAATATATTTGGTACTCAACGAGTAGCCCTTAATGGGTCTGTGTTTCTCAACCTTGGAAGCTTGAAGATGGGTGGACTTCAACTCCCAGAATCCCCCAGCCAGCAGCGCTGGCTGGGGGATTCTGGGAGTTGAAGTCCACCCATCTTCAAGCTTCCAAGGTTGAGAAACACTGGTCTTGGGGAAGGTGGGCCCTTAGGATGACGTGTGGACTTCAACTCCCAGAATCCCTGAGCCACCATGGGGAAGGTGGGCCTTTTGATGATGTGTGGACTTCAACTCCCAAAATCCCTGAACCATCATTGCTGGCTGAGGAATTCTGGGAGTTGAAGTCCACCCATCTTCAAGCTTCCAACGTTGAGAAACACTGATCTAAGTCTACATGGAGAGAAGTAATCAATAGGGTACTATAAGGTTCCTTCTTAGGCCCAGGACTCTTCAATATCTTCATCAACGACTTAGAGGAGGGAATAGGAGGGGAACTCACCAAATTTGCAGATGACACTAAGCTGGCAGGAATAGCCAACATCCTAGAAGATAGGCTGAAGATCCAGATGGATCTTGACAGACTTGAACTCTGTCTGTCCTATCTAACAAAATGAAATTCAACGTAGAGAAAAGGGAAGTCTTACAACTTAGGCAAGAAAAACCAAAATTACACATATAAACTGGGTGAAACCAGGCTTAATAGCAGGAACCGAGAGAGGGATCTTGGAGGCTTAGTGGACAACCAATTAAATAGGAGCCAGCTGTGTGCGGTGGCAGCCAAAAAAGCCAGTGCAATCCTAAATTGCATTAACAGAGGGATTCAATCAAGATCAAGGGACGTACTAATATCACTCTATAAATCCCTAGTAAGACCACACCTAGAGTACTGTATGCAGTTTGGGTCACCACACTATAAAAAAAGATGTGGAGACTCTGGAAAGAGTGCAGAGAAGAGCAACCAGGATGATGAGGGGACTGGAGGCTCAAACATAGGATGCAGGAACTGGGCCTGGCTAGTCTAGTGAAGAGAAGGACCAGGGGAGACAGGAGAGCATCTTCCAATATTTGAGGGGCTGCCCCAGAGAGGAGGAAGGGGGTCAAGCTGTTTTCCAAAGCACCCAAAGGCCAGACAAGGAATAATGGATGGAAACTGATCAAGGAGAGATTCAACCTAGAAATGAGGAGGAACTTTCTGACAATGAGATCAATCAACCGATGGAACAGAAGTTGCTTTCGGAAGTTGTGGGAGCTTCATCCCTGGAAGCTTTCAAGAAGAGACCGGACTGCCATTTGTCAGAAATGGTGTTGGGTCTCCTGCTTGAGTGGGGGGTTGGACTAGATGACCTATAAGGTCCCTTCCAACTCTGTTAATCTGTATTTTGTCTCTCCGGCCACTAGAGGGAACTAGAGAGCAACAATAGTATATAAAGATTGTATGCTGGGGCATATTTGTCCCTCCGGCCACTAGATGGAACTAGAGAGCAACAACAGTATATAAAGATTGTATGTAGGGGCATATTTGTGCATCTGGCCACTAGATGGAACTAGAGAGCAACAACATTATATAAACATTGTATGTTGCGGCATATTTGTCTCTCCGGCCACTAGATGGAACTAGAGAGCAACAACAGTATATAAAGATTGTATGTTGGGGAATATTTGTCCCTCTGGCCACTAGATGGAACTAGAGAGCAACAACAGTATATAAAGATTGTATGTTGGGGAATATTTGTCCCTCTGGCCACTAGATGGAACTAGAGAGTAACAGCAGTATATAAAGATTGTATGTTGGGGAATATTTGTCCCTCTGGCCACTAGATGGAACTAGAGAGTAACAACAGTATATAAAGATTGTATGTTGGGGAATATTTGTCCCTCTGGCCACTAGATGGAACTAGAGAGCAACAACAGTATATAAAGATTGTATGTTGGGGAATATTTGTCCCTCTGGCCACTAGATGGAACTAGAGAGTAACAGCAGTATATAAAGATTGTATGTTGGGGAATATTTGTCCCTCTGGCCACTAGATGGAACTAGAGAGCAACAACATTAAATAAACATTGTATGTTGGGGCATATTTGTCTCTCCGGCCACTAGATGGGGCTAGAGAGTAACAGTATATAAAGATTGTATGTTGGGGCATATTTGTCCCTCTGGCCACTAGATGGGGCTAGAGAGTAATAACAGTATATAAAAGATATATGCTGGGGCACGACAGGCTCAATTATGGTTTTAAGTGACGGAGCCCCTGCACTTCAGATTTCCATCAGCCATAGATTAACCCAGTTTCCCCTCCAAGCTCTGCAACCTTGTTGTGGGTTGAACTGTGGAAGGGGAGGGGGTCTTAAGTGGTGGGTCGCTGCCACAGTCAGAAGACTGAATTGAATTCTGTCTCTGGTGATGCCTTGGGTCTTGAGGGGGGAGGGGGGTGGGGCTGTTCTTCCCCAGGCTCCTTCAGGGTTTGGTGCTCCACGTTGGAGGCCTCACTCTGGATTAGTGTTTCTCAACCGCTTTAAGAGAGGTGGACTTCAACTCCCAGAATTCCCCAGCCAGCATTTTTTAAGATGTTGAAGTCCACTCATCCTAAAGCCTGCTGGCTGGGGAATTCTGGGAATTGAAGTCCACTCATCTTAAAGCCTACTCACTGGGGAATTCTGGGAATTTTATTTTATTTATTTATTTATTTATTATATTTCTATACCGCCTTTCTCCCGTAGGACTCAAGGCGGTGTACAGTCAAGAAAAAATATAGACACACAAACATCATAAAATTGCTAATTAAAATTATTACTTAGTTTGGTCAATTAAATAAAACCCAGAATTAGATAACATTTAAAAAATCATTCACATGTTCGTGTGTTTAGCCCCGCCTGTTGGAACATCAGGGTCTTGAGGGCACGGCGGAAAGCACGGAGATCAGGGATATTTCGTACCTCCGGGGGCAGTTCATTCCAAAGGGTTGGAGCCCCCACAGAGAAGGGCCTCCCCCTGGGAGTCGCCAGTCGGCATAATTTGACTGACGGTACCCTGAGTAGTCCCTCCCTGTGAGAACGAACTGGTCGGTGGGAGGCTATTGGTGGCAAAAGACGGTCTCGTAGGTACCCAGGTCCTAAGCCATGGAGCGCTTTAAAGGTGATAACTAACACCTTGAATCGCACCCGGAAGACCACCGGGAGCCAGTGCAGCTCGCGTAGGAGAGGTGTTACATGGGCGTAACGAGCTCCGCCCATAATCACCCGTGCGGCTATGTTCTGGACCAATTGGAGCCTCCAGGTGCTTTTCAAGGGGAGCCCCATGTAGAGAGCATTACAGTAGTCCATACGGGAGGTGACTAGGGCATGAGTGACCGTGCGCAAGGCGTCCCGATCCAGAAAGGGACGCAACTGGCGGATCAGGCGAACCTGATAAAAGGCACCCCTGGCCACGGCCGTCAAACGATCTTCTAAAGATAACCGTGAATCCAGGAGGACACCCAAGTTGCGGGCCCTCTCTGTGGGGAGCAAGATCTCATCCCCTATTGTCAGTGATGGTACCAGCTGACTATACCGGGACGCCGGAAGCCACAGCCACTCGGTCTTGGAGGGGTTGAGTCTGAGCTTGTTTCTCCCCATCCAGATCCGCACGGCCTCCAGGCAACAGGACATCACATCAAGGGCATCATTGGGGTGGTCTGGGGTGGAGATGTATAGCTGTGTGTCATCAGCATACTGATGAACACTCACCCCAAAACCACGGATGATCTCGCCTAGCGGTTTTACATAATTGAATTGAGGTCCATCCATCTTAAAGCCTGCTGGCTGGGGAATTCTGGGAGTTGAAGCCCACCTAACCTAAAATGACCTAAATTGTGATTATGGTGGGGAAAGGTTCTATAACTGACCCCCTCTGGCCACGAGTCGGCCTCACCCTCCTTTCCCTCTTTCTCCCCAGCTACGAGGAGAACACCGCCCCGAAGGAAGCAAAGGAAGAGCCTAAAGAAGAGACGACAGAGACAGACCCCGAGAAGAAAGAGAAATAACGGCGAGCGACTGGCCAGGCTGGGCTTTTCTCCCCCATCCCCTCCCCTCCCTCCGACCCCTTTCCCCATCGCAAATGGTTTTCATTTTTGTTTTCCAAGCCAACTGGATGGCGCCACGGCCGTATGTGCAGTGCGCTTGTGTCTCTGTGCGTCTGTCTGTCTGTCGGACTTGGGGCAGCCCCGGAGGCCGATCCGTGGTTTGGATCTCAGATCTGCCTTCCTGGACTTAGAATCCCCTCCCTGGGGGAGGAAACAGGCAGGTGGGGGGGTGTATGTGGAGTTAACAGTTCTCCCCCACCCACCTCCCTCCCCACTTTCCCCCCCACCAAAAAAAGAAGCTTTTGACACCAGTCCCCCTTCCCGTCTTCGTTGCCTGGGGGGTGGGGGTGGAGGTAGATGGAGGGGTCCTGGGTGCTGATTTTTAAATTTTGTATTGTGGATTTGCTTCTTCTCATATTAAAAGGGAAAAAAAGATGAAAGCCAAAAGCAGACCGGACCGGATAATTTTTTGGGAATGAATTATTTTTTTTTATTTTTTTTTTATTTTTATTTTGAATTTGTATACCGCCCTTCTCCCTGAGGACTCAGGGCGGTGAACAGCCAAATAAAAACATCAAATACAAATATTAAAATACAGTTAAAAAATATATAGAGATTTGGCCCCATTAATTAAAACGATAAACAAAACAAAACAATTAAAAAACCCTTAAAAAGAATTAGGCCAATTATCTGTCCTGGGAGGTATTTGGGAGAGGGGCTGGTTTTTGGGGGGGTGTCTCATGGCCTTCACAGGCAGCTCAGGGGAGATCGGTTACAGGAGACGGGCGTCAAATAAATTTGATAAATAATAAACCTTGGAGAAAGGCACCCAAATCCGAAGGCCTGCAAACAGAAATAGAACGACTGTGATAGCAACAGTAAGACCAGTAGTAAATATGGTTGCAGGAATTGGGTATGTCTAGTTTGATGAAAAGAAGGACCGGGGGGGACATGATAGCATCTTCCAATATTTGAGGGGCTGCCCCAAAGAAGAGTTGGGGGTCAACTTATTTTCCAAAGCACCTGAGGGCAGGACAAGAAGCAACGGATGGAAACTAACGAAGGAGAGAAGCAACCTGGAATTAAGGAGGAATTTCCTAACAGTGAGAACAGTTAACCAGTGGAACTGCTTGCCACCAGAAGTCGTGGGTGCTCCATCACTGGAGGTTTTCAAGAAGAGACTGGACAGCCATTTGTCTGAAGCGGTGTAGGGTTTCCTGCCTAAGCAGGGGGTTGGACTAAAAGACCTCCAGGGTCCCTTCCAACTCTGTTATTCTGATACAGATTGTTAAATTAGTCACACAGTTGTTAAAGTGAATCCAGCTTCCCCGTGGACTCGGTTTATCTCAGAAGGGGATCACAAAACCCCAGGACGTTGCGAAGATCACAAATAGGAGTCCGTTGCCACGCGTCGTAATTTGGATCACGTGGCCATGAGGATGCCACAATGGTGGTGGGAAGTACGGTCATGTCACTTCTTTTCAGTGCTGGTGCGAGTTCAAATGGTCGCTAAACGAGCGGTTGTAAGCCGAGGACTACCTGCCACCGACATCTTCTGTGCTACCACCTCCTCTTTCAATTCAGTTCATAGTGGGGTGGAGATTTTCAGCTCCTGCAGTTTTCGTGGTTGAATTAAAGCTCGGCTTTAGGGCCGTTCCTTGGTGGCAGTGGCAGGTCCGTTGCTGGTGGGCACCCACTGGGGAAGCCAAACAGGTGTGTCACCTGCTCAGAAGGCCTTGCATATCTTTTATCCAGGTGTTTTTCCTAAATCGAGTTCTTTAATCTGTACCTGATGTCCAGATCATTTCTCGATCTGGACAGCAGAGGGCAGCGTAGGACTCTGGACTAATAAACAGGAGCCACATTAATGCCCATATTGAGATGTGTGGACTTCAGCTCCCAGAATTCCCCGGCCAGCAACGCTGGCTGGGGAATTCTGGGAGCTGAAGTCCAGCCACCATAAAGGATGTTGGCTAGATAGTTCTGAGGTTAAAGTCCACCCATCTTAAAGTATGCTCACTGGAGAATTCTGGGAGTTGAAGTCCAGCCATCCTAAAGCACACCGGCTGGGGAATTCTGGGAGTTGAAGTACTCCCATCTTAAAGCACACTGGATGAGGAATTCTGGGAGTGGAAGTCCACCTATTTTAAAATTTGCCAGGTTAAGAAACACCGCTCTGCAAGATTCTGTGGGGCAGTTAGAAGCATGGAAGGAATCAATGCTGAAAGACCGCCCCCCCAACTGCCAGATTTTCTGCATGGGGGGGGGCTACAATTTAAGCAGTGTTCCTCATATGGGGTTGGACTAGAAGACCTCCAAGGTCCCTTCCAATCCTAGGATTCCATGATAATTTTAACAGCTTTAGACTTGGCTATCCGAGGGCCCTTTTCTCTTGATAAGGACTGATTTGGAGTTGTTCGGTTAGGAGAAATTCCACCATCCAATTCATAAGGAGGGACCCTCCTTGTGGCCCCAATTATGCTTACCTTCCCTGCTTTCATAACCCCCCACCTCATCTTTCAAACCTTTTCTGTTTCAGTTAGTTAAAAATTATAACTTTTTAATGGTTTGCATTTAACAAAAAATAATAATTTGTGAGATTGCTTTAGGGTCTTCTGGGCAGAAAGCTGAGGTTTCGGATAAATGAATAATAAATAACATTATATATATTATATATATTACACTTTATATTATATTATATTATATTATATTATATTATTATATTATATATTATTATATTATATTATATTATATTATATTATATTATATATTATTATATTATATTATATTATATTATATTATATTATATTATATTATGACACTGACAAATGAGGCACGACCACGGACCAGAAGCCAGACCACAGCTGCATCATTAGCCACTTTAAACCCCTCCAATCCATACATGAAGCAGACTGACACCCGCCATGAAGAGGTGGCACGGCCACGAACACGAAACCAAACAACAGCAACACAGCTCACCAGCTCAAATCCCCCTGCTACTCAGACTAACCCGAGCACAACCAAGCCCCCACCTAAACAGAACACACACCCAGCCAATCAGAGCACAGCCAACCCCCCCATCCAACCAGAGCACAGCCAAACCCCCAACCAATCAGAACACACCTTCACCCAATCAGAACACAGCCAAGCTCCCACCCAATCAGTTCACACTCCCACTGGCAGTTAAAAGGAAGAAACAGCTGCGATCACACACATCGCTCCTAGAAGCACGAAGCCGAAAACACCAGCCTGAAGATGACGAATGAGACTTCGTCAAAACGTTGCCAAGACACCTCCAATTTTACGCGGGAGAAAACCCGAATAACCAAAGACCTATATATATATTAGGCTAGGCTTTGCCCTAGTCAGAAACCAGCAGTGTAACCAGCTGGGAGGCTGAAAAGCAATCCTGGATTTTAGATCAAGACCATATGGCGCCAAAGAAAGAATTTTGGCTTTAAATGGCAATTTGCATTTGACTGCGCAGCCTCTCAAAGAGTTCTGGAACACCCAGAAGCTTGTATACATTCACACAACACGCTGAGCCCAGTCAGTTAAAAGGCCTTGTTTCTGCATGTTTGCTACGCAATAGGCTGATTTTATCTCTTCTTAACAGCCTCATCCCGTTCAGTGAAACCAGCTGTATTTGGTGCGGAATTTACCGCAAGAAAATGAATTGCATGCGATTCTGTCAACCCAGCTTCTATTGTTATGTTTGCGTGCCACACTGGGCCCAAACCGTACGAATAGAATAGAAAAGAAATAGGATAGGATAGGATAGGATAGGATAGGAATTGGAATTGGAATTGGAATTGGAATTGGAGGGGAGGGGAGGGGAGGGGAGGGGAGGGGAGAGGAGAGGAGAGGAGAGGAGAGGAGAGGAGAGAGGAAAGGAAAGGAAAGGAAAGGAAAGGAAAGAAAAAAAAAGAATAGACTAATGGAATGGAATGAAATGGAATAGAATAGAATAGAGAAGAAAATAGAATAGAATAGAAATAGGGGAGGGGAGAGGAGAGAAGGAAAGGGAAAAAAGAGAAGAAGAGGAGAGAAAAAAAGAATAGACTAATGGAATGAAATGGAATAGAATAGAAAAGAGAATAGAGAAGAATAGAATAGAATAGAATAGAATAGAATAGAATAGAATAGAATAGAATAGAGAATAGACGTTGGAATGAAGAATAGAATAGAATAATAGAATAGAAAAAAGAATAGAAAAGAAAAGGAGAAAATAAAATAGAAGAATAGAATAGACATTGGAATGAAGAATATAATAGAATAATAGAAAAGAGAAAAAAGAATAGAATAGACTAGACATTGGAATGAAGAATAGAATAGAAGAATAGAAAAGAAAAGAAAAAAGAAAAGAAAAAATATAGAATAGAAAATATGGAATATAAATAGAACACAACAATACATGGAACGGAACATATAGAACAAAATAGAATAACAATAGAATAGAACAGAATTAGAATGGAATGGAATAGAATAACTTTATTGTCACTTTGAACGTACATTAATCTGCATATATTAAAAACGAAATTTCGTTGCCACCCAGCTCTCAAAAGGGCCGCCACCTCCAATGTACACTTACATAAACATGGCAGAACCAATCGATCGATCAATACAAAATTATGCCTATACCCACCTACATTAGAGGACACCAGAGAAAGACCATAATTTAGTTCGGCGGTATACATGTACATGGCGAGAAAAATGAATCTTGCGAGTTCGTTGGATGACGGATGGCACGAGGGCTCGATTTAAGCTTTGGCACCCTTTGCTCCAGCCACAAACGGACACTCTCGCCCCAGGATGAATTGCAAATCACTCAGGCGAAGAATCTTCGAAGGCTGGAAGGGACCTTGGAGGTCTTCTAGTCCAGTGGTCCCCAACCCCCGGTCCGCGGACCGGTGCCGGGCCGTGGAGTACCTGGCACCGGGCCGCGCAGCGGCGGGGGACAGGAACGCTTCAGCGCAAAGGCTCCTGGGCCGTGCGCAATGGGCCTGCGCAAAGGCTCCTGGGCCGTGCGCAATGGGCCTGCGCAAAGGCTCCTGGGCCGTGCGCAATGGGCCTGCGCAAAGGCTCCTGGGCCGTGGCCCCACCCCTGCGCGCGCTCAGCGGGCCGCGGCGATAAAAAGGTTGGGGACCACTGTTCTAGTCCAACCCCCTGACCGAGTCGTTATTCCGTCCCAGATAAAAAACACAGTTTATTTTATTTTTTTTAATAATATTTTTATTAATAATAATAAAAAAAACAAACCAACATAGATACATTAAAACAACATACAAAACGAACAAACATCAATTCAGTCCAATGACTGACTCTTAGAAGTTACTACAACGGTGGGTTATTTTCATATTTCTATTTGTATCTATATCTACATTCACATGTTTACATGGTTATATATGTATATATATAATTGACTCCTTGTTTACTTCTATGCATTTCTATTGAATAATCGAAA